ATTCTGTTTTATGTTTAAAGAATTCTCAGAAAAATAAATAGTACCTATACAGCTGAGAAGTCTTACAAGTACCCCGGCCCCAAGGCTGAATTTTTCCGATACCCACCCCCACCACCCCTAGGCTTGGGAGTAGATTTTAATCAACTTGTTTCTGCATTTTCCGACCGTATCACACGATCTTCTTCAAAGAGTTCGAACAAGATGAACTTGTGTAGATTTTAAGGTTTATTCCCTAATCTGCCTGGATGAATCACGTTAATGCTCATTACGTGACTGCCGGGGAGCTTAAGCAGACCGCACGTTCGAGCTCGCGTCAAGTTCAAGTCACATGTCGAGTTCGAGTAAAGTTCAATTTCTTTTTCTCAAAATTATTTTCCAGAGGCACATCAACGGCACGTACGCCCAGTTTTTTTTACTTTTTACAAGAATTTTAAACGTTTCTCGACATCCACTTATTTTCCTAACAGATTCCGTTTTCTTTTAAGTTGCGTTGCAGGCGCGGGAAAGTAATATAGGCGCAAGAAAGGATGAAGCACGCGCCGAGAAAAAAAGAGAAAAAAACTAGATTTGACTGACACTTGCCGCTGTTGACAAGAACTTTCAGGACGGCGACGAAGGCGGCGAAAACGTCACCTATTAAGTGCATTCGCGTTTTACAAACTTCGTCTCGAATATTTCAATGCTGACTAATTTTCTATATCCCAAATTACTCCAATCTAAATCCTCCAGTAAATAGTTAAGAAATCCTTTGAACAATTTAAAGGGGCAATATCACGATTTTTGCTAAGTTTGTAAAACAGCCAAAATGTCTGTTTGCATAGGATGAATTCCAAAAATTAATTGTCCTTTTTTCTTTTTTATTTAAGACTTCTATTAGGCATTCAGGAGGTCGAAACTGTTCCCTCAGCGTCATCTGTTGCTATGGATGGCTAGGATGGACATGGATTGAAACTTGAAAAAGTTTGGCCAATTTTTTCAAGCCCTGACGCTATATCTGCAAGAATCATCAAAAAAGTTTTAATGGTTTGTGCTCCCGGATGAAATTTGTTTGATTTCTCAGTCTTCATAGCTAAACTCTATGGGAGCATTTGTAAAGGCACTAAAAGTAATGACTTAAGCTCAGGGTTTACCTAAAGCAGATTTCTTGGTGATTTTCGCGTCCTTTGGTACCCAGCCAAGTAGGTAATGCAAGTTCTACAGCTTAAGAAAACGTTATTCTTTTTTCTGGTCTCCGCGCACAAGCAAAACAAAAAACTTAAAAAATATTCTAGTACTCAGGGTGCAACGCCTTAGCAAGTTATTACCTCACTTGATGCAGACATTTTGAATCAGTCCTGTTGTATGTTTACAACTTCAGTTCCGACAATCCAAGAACTCAAAGGTTCCTTGATCTGTTGTGATACCAACAAGAAGCTATGTCTGAATGTAAGCTTCTAGTGAACTTAACGGTACTTAAACCTCACTGATCAATTCTTGAACCCAGGGCGCGCTCTTCTCTCTCCACATTGATTTCGGACAAAAACGTCACTGGACTTGTACGCCCAAGAGAACGTGATACCTGCGCATGCGCATATTGGGCCTTGAGGGGGAACAAACCTCCCGCCTTTCGTACCTTGCCTTCCCGGGTATCGCCCCGTTTCCATGGCTTCCCCCTTGTAGCCCTTTTTCGATTGCGAAATATTTTGCATTGTTGCATATTTTCTCCCTCTTTCTCCCGCTTTCCACCTACTTAGGATTCCCTCCTCCAGAACCTCTCCCACCCCGTATTCTCCCGGGTTCCCACCCCTCTTGTCTCCTGCCCCCCTTAACTCTCAAGATAAGGTCTTAGATTTAATGAGTCGCAGCCGATCTGATATAATGCATATTTTTAGCATGGTCTGGGCTCTTCAGTGGACTCTGCAGAGTCAAGTGATAAACTCACGCGCGAAATTTTTTCAGCAGGAAATGGAACTTAAAATACTTTTGGCCCACTTGGATAAGCCCTGCTCTTATAGTGTAGCTATGGGCTGGGCTCGCGATGAAATAGGGGAGGCTCCGTCCAAAAATGGCTGCACCAGATGACAAAGAGACTTATAGTGGGTATGTGAAGGGGGCAGTATTTTTTTTATTCAACCGGGAGCGTGCGAAAATTGGCTAGGGATTGGACCACGGGGAGGAGTCGGGGTGTGGTTACGCAGGAGCCGTCAAGGTCTTCGCAAGTGGTGAAATCTGGTAGATGTTGCATTTTGTCTAAAAAAATTATCTCAAAGCAGTCAATATGGAGGTTCAAAGGCGACTGTGATTTTCTCTGCTATCGCTTATTCCCTTCTGCTTTTTCTTCTGCTTCGTTTGTCAATTTTGTTTTTGTTTTTATCAGCTGTTTATCACCCTGTTTTTATTAATCGGTTGACATTGACCTTGTTCGTACGTGCGCACAGGCGCACAGGTAGCTACACCCTGTGCAAAGTCGATTTTTTCTGACGTCATGTCATCCTTGGTGATTTGTTTGCCATGTGTCCATAATCTCTCTTGTATGATCCATTTAATCAGTGCCAAAAGAGGATCAGTATCAAATAAAATAAATTCTTGTGATACACATTGTTCAGGTCTGCTGATCCCAACTACTCTCGTTCTTTGACCATAGCTTTTTTTCTTCAACTCAGTCAGAGCTTTTTCCCGTGATTCTGGTTTATTGCTCGATTTTTAAGATCTCGCCCAACCCTTATCATCCGTTTGTATAAGCTGTGATGTGTTGAAATGAGTGTGAAAACTCGCTTTCTGTGGGCGAAATATCGGTATCCAGGATGCATGTTTGCCGGAGCGATGTTTTCTCAAATGTTCATAATATGTACAAATCCCCATGGGTGTTGTTGAGCCTTCTAAGAAAACTTACCACTTTTACAAGGTGAAAAAATGCGACTGTTGAAAGGCATGGACATATATCATATCGCTTTTTTTGTGGTAGATTTACATCTGCTGTTACTACATTGTAGCAGGAAACTCTTGACAAAAATATGTTGCAAGATTGGTCTGAATTTCATCCGATTACTTCGAGTCGTTATTACTCCCTTAGTTGCTGAGAGGAGAAAACGACTCGAAGCAATCGGATGAAATTCAGGCTAACGCAAGATCGGTTAGCTCTATTGGGAGAGCTTCGGTCTGCCCGCGCAGGAGGTCGTGGTCGGACCAACAACCAGGGTCTTAAAAGATGTGGTAAGATCTTGCTGGCTGTGATTTGAGATTTTTTCTTAGTTGAGATGATCGCGTCATTGGGCGTAGACTTGCTACAAGTCGACCTCTTGTAGTTCTCACCTTAGCACTTTTAGAAAGTCTACATTGGGCAGCACTGGAGATATGCTGGCATTGCAGGGTCAAAATTCATCCTTCTTTCATTGATCGAAAGGGATTTGAAAGAACCCACACTACTTTTCGAAAAAAGTAGAGAACGTTTCCCCGATGTGTACTCTACCTTGCACACATCATTCATGTCACACGCTGGGTGGGTTACAGAAAGCTCATGAATGGGCTGATAGCGGCTTCCAGTTGTGCCCTTGTATGCTGACGTTCGAGCTTAGTTACTGTTGGTGATAGTTTAACATCCGGATATAATGTAAGGAGGACAGGTCTGTTGTCCTCTTAATTACCCAAAGCGTGCAAGCAGTCTTTTAGAGCCTGTTTACTTTGAGTGGGGGACCCCGGTCTAGTGGGGTAGCTTTCTTTTGTTTTGTGTCCCCCAGAGCGTGAAAACAAAAGAAACCAACCCCACTAGACGTGCAAAGGCATTTTACATACATACATCCATGTAAACAGGCTCGTCCCCACGGGGCTTTTTTCAATTTTTTTATAAACGGTGCATCTAAGAATATAACAATGCGTGAGTGTCAATAAAATTAATTAAAAATGAAATAAAGCAGGAGCGCGTAACGCGGAGCGTCACAGATGGGCTAAGTTTGTCAGGCTAAATTCGTGCAAAGGCATTTTCACAAGTGAGTTTATTTTTAGATATGCTTTTCCCGCGAAAAATAACTAAATAATATCAAACAAGGTAAAACTGGGCTTCTGACGAGGGGGGAAGCCCAAGCGAAGCCTCTCACTGCCTTAATCTCTCCTTTTTTTGACCTTTAATTTCCGTAATTTTACTTTTTCTTTGGTCTTGGTCTTTGGTTCCTAGAATTGAAGGACGACTGTTCGCGGTCTATCTCATCCACGGCATTTCAGTCATTCATTCAGTTGCCGAGGGTTTTAAATCACGTGTTAAAACACATTTCATTCCCGAGCGTTCGTCTGTCATAAGTGAGAGTGGAGCTCAGCGACCGCAGCGAAAATTCACTCAAAAAGTAAATTTAAGCTGTGTCAAATTATCCCGTTTTTTGTCAACTGTGGGCGAGTTTGTCTGGAGTTGAATACTTCTTGTATAATGGCCCCTCCCTAAACAATAGTGTATTGGGACATTTTGTTCTATTACATTTATTTAATACTGTAATCACCCTTAATTTAATTAGTAGCAGCTCAAACCTTCATAAGACTAGCCTGAGTATCAGGCGTTTCTGGGGGGAAAGGGGAAAGATGAAAGCGAAAAAGGGAGAGAGCTCTTCTCCCCCCTCCCCCCTCCCCCATCAAAAATCTCCTCTCCCCCATCCCCTTAGGAAGGCCTGATATCTCCTCTCCCCCATCCCCTTCGGAAGGCCTGATACTCAAGCTATCATAAGACTGGTCTGATCAGTCCAAATTGAATATTGGTTTAAAATACAGTAACCCGTTGCATCAGTTTTGCAGTATGGTCCTCGGACTTCTCATAATTAATAACAGCTAGAGAAGAAGAGTTCGCTGTATTATTTGTGTTCATCATTACGAACTTGGGTCATTCTCATCATCATTTTTATCACCATATCATCACCATCATTGTCATCGTTCTTCTTCTTCTTATTATTATTATTATTATTACTATTGTTATTATCATTATTATCATTATTGTTGTTAGCAAATTCAGCAAAACATTACGTGACGCATCTGTCAAACAATCAAATCAGCGGTTTCACCATAACCGTCAACATCCGGGATTCACTTAGTGGGACGGTCACAGTTCCCCCACTCGGGTACTTCCGCTCGTATATGGGAAAGTCAGTGCGCGCATGACACCCACCATGTACAATCTTCTCTCCGGTTGCAATGAATGTCGAAGGTAAAATCGTGTTGCGATGTAAGCGAGAATCAATAGCCACGTACACAATCACCGGTATGTTTACATCAAAGGTGATTGTCCTCTCGTCGTTCGGACCCCGGAGATGCGTTGATCCGTAGTATTTGGGAGGGATGTCCTCCATCGTGTAGCAGGCACGGTTGGTGCTAAATTTCTCCCCTTCTCTGACCATGCTGATCTCCCGGGGGGTACTGGGGAAGGTAACTTTCAGTTCGGCGTAGGGACGAACCTGGTAGGCGCCCCTTAGAAAGATGCCCGTCATACGAGACGATTTAAAATTTATGGAAACCAGTCCCGGACCATGGACGTTCTTGCTCCTGTAGATTGGGAACTTAACCCTCGGCTTGTGGCATCCCCCCAGCATCACCAAATCTTCCGTGACTTCGTAGTCGGCACCGTGGATGTAAGAATAACGAGAATCAATGGCAAGGTAAATGATAACTGGGACGCTGACCTTGAATCTTATGATACCAAGTTTATCGTTGAGCCCTCGAATGTGAGTCATGCCATGGTACAATGGTGGGACATCTTCCCAAGTGTAGCAGTCCCTATTTGTTGCGTATTTTTCTCCGTGTCTCAGCATGGCAATTTCCAAGGATCCATATCCAGTAACAGAAAGGTCAGAGTTAGCATGACACCCACTCATCAACGCGGCAAAAGCAAGAAAAGTCACCGACACCAACAAATTCGCCATCCTGAAGACAGTTTTTTCCTACGCAGCCTACAGCTTTCAGCTAGTGGAGCTTGGCTCGTGCATGATCCAGTATTTATACATCTCTAAAATCTTATCGCTTCCGAAGCAACGCGCTAAAATGCGTTGAAACGTCATTGAAACTTTAGGACAAGCAATCATAAATAATTATAGAATACGCGAGATACTGCACGCCCAAAATTCCTGAACATCTCAGATTGTGTCAATACTGTTCTTTGAATGAAATCGAAGAGGAGCAACACCTCATGCTAAACTGCACTCTTTACCTTAATGAAAGACAATATCTCCTTGATTCTATAAGTCACAAATTAAATATCCTAATTTTCACTCATTGAGTGCAAACGACATGATTCTTTTTCTCTTCAATAATGTAGATCCCTTTGCCTGCAAGAAACAAGGGCACCCAACGACGGTTTCCTCCTAAATACAGTGAAAACACTTTTAAGGCTATCCAGAGTACTTTTAGATCTCTAGAAATGCATTCTAAGCGGCGCTATAAAATTTGTATCTGTTCGGTCATCCTAGGGGAACTCGAGTCTTTTCGAAATTACAAGGGATTAAGTAGTACTTTCCCGAAATTTTTAGATGCAATTTAACATATTACGGGGGAGAGAATTTTTCTGATTCCTCTTTCCATCACATTTTTGTATCTGAAAATTTTCGGTTTCCTTTTTTCTTCAAACAATAGCTTAACCAGGGGAGTGAAACGTGGAAATATTAAACTTCAGAAAATCTTACGCAATTTATTAGATGAGCTTCGAAATTTGTACATGAATGGAACGGTCATCTAGAAATTTTTAGCCGTCCTCAAGTAATAGAAAATTCTAGGCAATATTCGCTTCTCCGAACTGATGTGTTGCAGAAAACAGTCGTTGGGTGCCCCCAGGAGCCCCAGAAGAAACTTGGCCATTTTATTTTTCTGGCCTTCGAAAAACGTGAAAGTAGATCATTAAACATAGCAGTACAATATAGTTAGCATTTTCCATGTAATTTTAGCCATTATTATTATTATTATTATTTACAATGATAAATGTTACTTTCTTTTCTTTTTACCTTTACCTTAACATAATCGGCAATGGCATCTACTCATGGAAATCACAATAAATTTTGTTGTTGAATGTAAGACGTCAATGACGTGTACAGGCACACAATCCGGAGACACCCCGAGGTAACATCACGTAGAGATGGCTGTTGGAAATATCTGATCCAGTGGGGCTGATCCCCGGGGGGGGGCACTTGGGTATTTCTTGGGTGGGTGTGTGCCGCCTGGGACTGCAAATTGGCACCCCGTTCTAAAAAAATTTCCCCTAAAATTGATACCCCGTTTTAGAAATGGGCCAATTTTTTATACCCCGTTCTAGAATTCGCGCTAAAACTGATACCCCGTTCTAGGGTGCAACAAGAGTACAACAGTTTGATTGTTAACGCATTGAACCGTATCTTTAAAAGCAATCTGTCCTTGAATAAAAAAAGTCAAATGGCTGCTTACAAAACTGGAGCTTTCGCACGTTCGAAATATTATACCCCGTTCTAGAAAACGCCTCCGAAATGGATACCCCGTTCTAAATCAGGAGCTTCAAAATCACGACCCCGTTGGGCGGCACATACCCGTATAGGTAATGTATGGGAGTACCCCCCCCGGGGGGCCGATTCACTAAAGTACGGTTTGGTTTTCCTTTTTTTTTTTTTTTGGTTTTCTTTCATGACTCTCCAGTTCTCAGAGACTTTATGGCTTTGAAAGTGAGAGATTAGCCTGCTGGCAAGAAGCTCTATGGGGCGCTCTGGCAGCGGAGAGAGAGAAAAAAGGAGAGCTTGGCTGTTACAGTCACGTATCAGGAATTTGAATTCCGCCTCCAGCTCCCTCTGTGGCTCCTCGTCGACTGAGGTCCCGCTAAGCTTTCGAATGACGCACGACTGCATGCTGCCTGTTAGCTTTCCAATCGACTTATTGCACAAAACAAACAAAAGAAAACTTTTCTTGTCTGATTGATGTATTGATCGCTCACGGTACCGCAACAATCCTTTGCAACAATCAGAAGTTGCGTTCGTGAGCAAACGCAGTTTTTCAAAATGGTGGAGTTTGCTTGCAAGCGTTTCCTCCTCCCCCTCCCACCCGCCTCACCCTTCATTCCTCTTTTTTGCTCTCGTCCCAATGATTTTCTCGACGAACTCGCGCGGAAACGCGTCCTACGCAAGCTAAATAACATCAAAGAGCATGTGATAGAGTCGAACGTCCTAAAAATGCCCGTCACAGAGATGGGTCTATGCAAATATTGAACGTTACTTCGAGTTGCGTTCTTTTAGCGCCATTTGGATTTTTTTTACCTGACCTTAAAAAGTAAAGGAAATCCCACGAAAAATTCGAAAAAAGAATCAGGCGTCCAGTTTGTACTTGTCTTCGAAGTTTTCCTGTAGAAGTCTATTTGTTGGTTATTTTCTGTTTTTTTTTTTCTTCTCATACAAACTCTTGTGTAAGTACGAACGTTCGGTACCGGTCTCCTGTTTAGGAATCGAAGGCTATGGTTTTCATCGCCCGGCCGTAGGCTACAAAATTGCGATAATTTGGTCCAGAATTAGAATAGGATGTCGTTTTGGAAAATTGTTTGGTGGTATGAAGACTTACAGTTTCTAGTTCTGGCTTGCGTAGCAGGCGGTTTCGGGCGCGCAAACGTGCTAAGTGAGCGGCAAAAAAAATAACAAGTATTGCCCTGCCGTATCGGATAAACCCCTGTAACCCTATCCCCAGGGTTTTGTTGACAGGACGCCTCTAAATGAGACCGAAGATAATCTGGGTACGAAAATCGAGTCGTGTACTACCGCAATTTTTCGTGACAGCGGTTTTCATCCGGGAACTTCCAAGCCGTGGAAAAAATCCAAAATGGAGGAAATAGGTATCTCTGTGCAGAGTCAGGTTAGTTTGGTTTTTTCTCCTTTTTGCTTTGATATGTGAAATTATAGTTAATTTATTCACGTACTTTGAGAGCTAATTAGTAGTTTTAGGGAGACCTAGGATAATTTCGATGGAACTATAGTTAAAATTAGAGTTTTTCCTTTCTACTATTTTTTGTCATTGAGGAAAAGGTGCTTTGTCACGTTGCTTGTTGTCGTTGTACAAAAAGATTTTGTAGATTCGTTATTGAAATCCAGCCAAATTCAGAACGCTTGATTTAAACGCTTAAAGTCATCAGAGTTTATCGTTTTCATTTGTATTTAATTTTTATGTCTGACAAAAATTAGTTAGGTCACCGAAAGCAATTAAGTAAAAAGTTAATTTTAGAAAACTGGTTCTTGTTTGTCCAAGTGTGCAAATCAAGTTTGAAATACTTTTGAACTGTTCTGTTCAGGATTCAAGCAGACCAACAACTGCAGCAAGCAGTTCACTGTCTTCTGTCGACCCAGATGTAGATGACCTGTACACAAAATACAAGAAACTTCAGGCCCAACTTGAATTTTTAAAAGTCCAGGAAGAATACATAAAGGATGAGCAGAAGAATCTCAAAAAAGAGTTGCTACATGCACAAGAAGAAGTAAAAAGAATCCAGTCTGTTCCTTTGGTTATTGGTCAGTTTCTTGAGGCTGTTGATCAAAACACAGGAATTGTTGGTTCTACTACAGGTAAGGCATATCCTCCTTTGAAAATGAAGTTTTAACCAAAGCACAAACATGTGTAACACTAGCTTCTTTAACTCCAGGTGAATGGCAATGTTGAAATTGTCTCCATTATCTCAGAAAGCTGTGATTGAGTTTTGGGTGTTTTACTCTGAATTACTATAGCCTTACTTACAGTGAAACCTTCTTAAACATTCCAAGAAAAATAAAATTTGAACTAGATGTAATCCAATATTGAGTTCACTTTTGGCTTAAATATCTTTGTCTATAGCTGAAGAATTGAAGCAAATAATGAACTCAACTTTGAAATATTCAACTTTTAAATTTTACTCCTCCAAGCAACATAGAGCGGGTTTCACTGTAAGTGGATTATTTTTTTACATTAGTTATTAATCTTTTGTTATTGTTTCCCTCCAGGTTCCAATTACTATATTCGCATTCTCAGCACAATTGATCGTGAGCTGCTGAAACCAAGTGCCTCTGTAGCTCTTCACAAGCACTCTAATGCTCTTGTTGATGTCCTTCCCCCTGAGGCAGACAGTAGCATAGCCATGTTAACCGCTGATGAAAAACCAAATGTCGCTTACTCAGACATAGGCGGGATGGACATTCAAAAGCAGGAAATGCGAGAAGCGGTTGAACTTCCGCTGACGCATTTCGAGCTTTACAAGCAAATTGGAATAGATCCGCCAAGGGGTGTATTGATGTATGGTCCTCCAGGATGCGGCAAAACCATGTTAGCAAAAGCAGTGGCCCATCATACCACAGCTGCTTTTATTCGTGTTGTTGGTTCAGAGTTTGTTCAAAAGTATCTTGGTGAAGGACCAAGAATGGTCCGTGATGTCTTCCGTTTAGCTAAAGAAAATGCTCCGGCTATAATATTCATTGATGAGATTGATGCAATCGCTACCAAGAGATTTGATGCCCAGACGGGAGGTGAGAAAATTGATATCATTAGGTCGTCACTAAATGCATTAGTGAAAAGAAAGTCACTGCCTTTCGGTTAAGCTGTATCTAGCATGTACTACATGTAGCTCAAAAGTTAATCAACTAACCTGAAAAAATTTTGACGCGCAGGATTTATTACAGTTCTTCTGTAATTTGAATTCCCCACAAAATTTCATTTGTCTGTCAGCAAGTTAAGAACAGAATTAACTAATCCAATGGCAATGTCCACTCAGTTTAGACACAACAGACACAACTTTGTTTGCACACTGGTCATAATCATTTAAATGTAAAGCATTAAGACTTCATTTTACAGCCTGTCAAAATTGTGCAACCATTTTTCAGATGAGGTAAGGGAAGTTGATTGCAACTTGTGTAACTTGTGTGAGACTTTTAATCAAAAGTTGAAATCTCCAGATCTCTGGATTATCATTTGTTATTAGCAGAATTGTATTTGGGGGTATAGGAAGTTCTTACATGTATGTGACACTTATTTAGAAACTTTAATTTTCAATTTAATAAGTGACATGTATTGTTTTTTTGTTTGCTTAGCTGACAGAGAGGTACAGAGAATTTTGCTTGAGTTGCTAAATCAGATGGATGGCTTTGATCAGAATGTTAACGTTAAGGTACAGTACAGATAACAACATTTATTTCCATAGATGGTAACCTCCATTGCATTAGATCTTTCTACTCAGGTTTAACAAAGTTTACTGCTAACATAATGAACCCCAATAAAATACAAGGTTCAACAAATCCCAGTTTGGTTAAGTCAGAAGCCAAACATAATGCACAAGTTAACAGTAAATATCACCTTCCTCTTGGAAGGTGGTCATATTGTGTTACTTTTACACAGGGTTCTTATTACATGTAAGTTTTTAAGTAGACAGGCTGCTAGGATGTAAAAGTAGGCGGCTTGCCAGTTGAGTTTTGTAGGCAATTTCAGGCTTTCACTCTCTTACTTTACCCTATTTCTCCAAAAGGTAGATGGCTCAAACCTCCAAGTAGCCGGTTTTTTAGCTGGCTGCCCGCACTTAATGAGAACCCCGTCTACAGAGTGCCATTTAATCAAGTAAAAAGTAGCAATAATTCTTCCAGTTTATCCGACAGAAACTTGTTTCAGTATTGCTGTATATTATTTTTAACTAATTGTTATTAACTATCAGGTCATCATGGCAACAAATCGTCATGACACTCTTGATCCTGCCCTTCTTCGGCCTGGGCGCCTGGATCGCAAGATTGAGTTTCCCATGCCTGACAGAAGACAAAAGCGCCTTATCTTCTCTACAATCACAGCAAAAATGAACCTGTCAGAGGAAGTGGACCTGGAGGACTGTATCCTTTCCATTTTCGATAGAATACAGCAGAGTCTTTATTCTGTTCTGTCATCATTGGGTAAAACTTTGCTCAGCAGCTCTTTCAATAGAGCATGCTTTCATGATGTGAAAGCAGGAAGTCCTGGAAAAATTTTTTTGGCATACTAATTTTCCTTGAGGTGAAGACAAGATACATGTAATAGAGATGTGGTAAACACAGCAACAAAATCATAGTTTTTTTTCTGATTAACTTTCATGTTCATGTACAGTCGAACCCCGCTATTTCAAACTCGGTTAATTCGAAGTCTCACTATTTTGAAGGAAGATCGAATTCCCTTGGATTTACCCTTATGTTTTCAGTCATTTACTGTCAGCTATTTTGAACTCGGTTATTTCAAATTCCCTGCTATTTCGAACTCATCGTTTGTTCCCTACACCTTAAATCAACCCCAGTATTTCGAACTTGTCAAAAACAGATTACGTATATAAGAGCACAGCTGGAAACATATTGCATTTTATTTGAGCTCGTGTTGCGTAATCATTGACTTAACAATACTTGACTCACGTGTAGTGTCCCGTTAAGAAATTCCAGCTGTGTTATTCAATTACAAAAGTAAATGCAATGTTAGTGAACTGTTCTTTCTGCTGAAATACTCATGTTTGAACTCTGAATTACTGTATTTTTATTCAATCAGTGTCTTTCTTCGTACTGTACTGTATTTTATTAAAAAATGATTCATTGTTACGAATTTTACGCTTCCCAGTTATTTCGAAACCCTGCTTTTTCGAACTTTTTTTCCACTCCCTTGGGACTTCGAAATAGCGGGGTTCAACTGTATATTAATATTTAAAGTCTTAAAGGGTGGGTGTAAAAGGTGCTGTAAGTTTTGAGTGAAAACGTCTTGCAAAGATTTCAAGAAAGATAATTTTCTAGCCTTACATAGCCTTCTAGCACAGACTTGTACCTCTTTGCCACTTTTAAAAAAGTAATATATAAAATGTGGCAACTGTGGAAGACATGTTGTGCTTGCCACGGGAAGCCTATTTTTTGAAAATGCTGATGTTGTATAGTCAAGTGCAGCAGACAAAAAAAAATATCCTTAACTCATTTGATAACAGATGTTGCAAGACCAGACAAAATCAGTGGTGCTGACATTAATGCCATTTGTCAAGAGGTAAATATTTAGAGCAGCACTTTGTTTGAGAAATGTCTTTTTTTGAATAAGAAATGAGCACACAAAGCTGTTTCCACTTAGAATGTAGGTTATGTGAGGTTTTACTCATTGTGCCTTCTTAACTTTGCTCCTACATGTTGTAGTTGACAATGTTCTGATCTTTGTTAATTTGCCTTGAAGATGAGTAACATTCCTTTCTGCCTTGTTTTGTTTTTAGGCTGGAATGCAAGCTGTCAGGGAAAATCGATATGTGATTCTGGCTAAAGATTTTGAGAAAGGGTACAAAAACAATGTCAAGAAAGATGAACAAGAGCACGAGTTTTATAAGTAGTCTGTACAATTTTCCAAGTATTGATATATCTCTGTGAATAAAGTCTGCTTGCTATGTCTATCCCATGGCTTATTGTTCTTTGCAGGTCTATTTTAAGTTTTTTTGCCAAGTGACTGTTTTTGTTGCTTCAATAAGGGACAATTCACTTTGAAATGCAGAACTCTCATTCTGGGAGCTTCTCACTCCCCTCCCCAACCCCCACAATTTTGTGTATTGTTACCTGGAATTACAATCTTGGATAAAATACAGTAGAACCTCTATTCAGGGATCAATTTAATAAACTTTTACAAGTATAAAAGTGTAGCTATTGTTCTGTGGTCCAAAAATAATGGGTACACTTGTAAATTATACTTGTAAAGGTTTTATTCAATTGAACCCAAGGGGACACCCTCAGGACCAAGTCAAGTGTCCCCTGACTGGAAGTTGTGCTGCAGTTTGTTAATTATTAAAAAACAACAAATAAAATATTTTTTCTTTTATTCTGCCTTGGAATCTGATGCAGGCATCTGATGCAAGCAGCTAGATAATGTACAAAAAATCATGATTAACTCATCTCTGCAATGTTGTGTGTTGAATTCTCACAAGTGCAGTACATCGATTTAGGTGGGATAGTTCATGGTTTGAAAGATCTCACTATTGTGACATTGTTTCCCCAAGTTTTTAGGGACTCAGTCACTTTTTGAGTGATAAGGTGTCCCCCTGGATGGAGGTTAAAGCCGAGTTTCAGGACCCAGAAAAAGTGTCCCTTTCCCCTGAATAAAGGAGTCTCTTCAATAGAGTACAACAAATACAAAGACTATGTGAACATTTTTCCGGGACCAAATTTTGTGTCCCTCGAATGGAGCTGTCCCAAAGGAGAGGTTCCACTGTGGACAGAAAATTGAGCCCACTCTTCCCCCTCTTCCCCTAATCAAGGATGGGGAATTGGCAGATAATTTGGCTTTAACAGAGCACCATAGTTCTGGGAGAAAAGGGGTTTGCTTTTCATTTTATTCTCTCTAATATGATAGTGTAAGATGAAGGGTAATACAGGTTAAACGACCGTGTCCAAAAACAACAAATTACATGATAATGCTCTTTTGACAGTCAGTTTTTTCCTTCTCTCTGATTGGCTAAAAATCTTGCGTCTCTTTTCGACTATTAAGTAACCTTACAATCAGTCAGTCCACTCCTTTTCTGTTGGGAGACAAAAAAGAAAAAAAACAGAGTGCCTGATTGCAGAATCATAAGAACCCTATTCTATTAAACTTTGTTGCGTCAACTCATTGCCAGGCCCTGGTTGTTCAAACGTCGGATAGCGCTATCCACTGAATAAATCACTATCCAGCGGATAGCGTAATTGATTTCCGTAATACTTATCCGCTGGATAATGATTTATCTGGTGGATAGCGCTATCCGACGTTTGAACAACCAGGGCCAGATCTTTTAATCATGTTAATTCCACCTTTCAGCCAAAATAACTGCACTATGAAAACAGCACCACCACCAACAAAATTTTCCCTAATTAGCCTGTTTGTCTCGTTTTCATAATATGGGTAAGTACTTCATGTATGTCAGACCATATGCACCGCCATAAAGAAAGTCGATTGAATGAGGAGTCTGGTGACTAGCGAGGAACGCCTGGCCTTTTTTACTGTTGGAGGAAAATTTGCGGGAAGTCTCTTTCATGCATTCTTGACAATAGAACTTGCTCCCTGGCAATACAAGCTGGAGTGAATCGTTTCCTTGTGGGGGTAATGCACCTGACTGAACAAATTTATTCCTAAGGACGGTAAGTTATGTTTTTTTTTTCAATCTTTTTCTGGATCAAAACTTCTCATTCGCCATACCATACGTGGATCGATAGATTGATCGCTTCATTTAAGCTGAAAGGGATAGTTTATACCCAAAACCGCAACTTTGCCAAAAGATAGCTTACGACCTCATTAAAGAGATTGACAAAAAAGTTCAGTCTTTGCTCATTTGCTGAAAACGAGACTACAGTTTGTTTAAAATTGATAACTTGTACAGTAATATTTCAAATCTGCCCAGCTTGAATTATCTCAGTCTAGTCTGTACCTTCAAAAGGTTTGGTTTCCTTCAAAGTGCTCATCTTTTAAATAAATCACTCTTCCTTTATTGCTTTCGTCAATGATATAAATGTCTATTGTATTTATTTTTACATTATATGCTATTCGCTCGGCCTCAGTTGATCAAAGGTTTAATAGATATGTATATAGAGGATATTACACGGTGGCGCGAAGATATGTATTTTATTTTCGAGTGGCAAAACAATATTTTATGAACGAGCGCAGCGAGTGAGTAAAATATTGTTTTTGCCACGAGAAAATAAAAATATTCATATCTTCAAGCCGCCAGGTAATGTTCTTTTTATCATATAGACAAAATGACATCGATAAAATAATAGAGGGAAATTACCAAAATTACGTCATCGATAAACTCATGTGGGAGATTATGGAAAATAAACCACTCGGGTCCCGGATGTAATTTTTATGAATTTTACGAGTGGTATATTTTCCGGTAAAACACTCGTGTCTATATAATAAAATAGACCATTTTATAGTTGCGGACTTAGTATTCAAACCTTTGGATGTGTGTGAGGCTGAGGTTGACCTTGTTTTGATACAAACCTCTTTCCTTTAATAATGGGAATTATTCTTGAAAAACACTAGTTAGCATATGAGAACAACGTGATTTACCTTAAAAAAGCAAAAAGGGTTGAATCAAAACAAGGTCAACTCCACCCTTGTTTTCACCTGTAACTGTAAAATGGGCTATTTGGCTCATTCAAAGAACAGTCATGTCCAATACTGCTGCACTGTTAGGGATTGTTAAGAGCAGTTGATGGACTATACACTCCATCAGGAAGCAACGTTATTCTTTTAATGTTTGTGTGGAACTGTTAAAGCAAAGATTATTTTTCTTATTTAACAAATTTTACACTCAAATATACCAACTCTCCCAGTTTATCCCAGAATAATCTCTCTCTTCTAATCTCCTGTATGGGTCACCAAATCAACTTCTGAGTTTTTTTGTGTTTTTGTTTGGAACTTAGCCCATTTTTCATGGACGGCACTTTCATTAGCATTTAACATTTGGCTATACATGTACATGTAGCTAGTGCAGGTTTGTTCGTTTTGTTGGGTAGTTATGCCATTGAGAAGGAGCAATATAAACTATATACAGTTAAGTTAAAAACATATAATTCAGATTTATTTTCAGCACACAAAATTAGATCCTTTTCAAAATCTCATCTCTTAAAATATTCTTAAAATTTTGCAAATTTCAGTTTCAATATTCTTATAAAAAAGAAAGAATGTAATAGGTTTAGGGGTTGGACTTCAGGGCTGAGTATTCTGTATTAGCCCGCAGAGCAGGCATTTTTTTAATGAAAGCGCAACCCAGAGGACCATTGATCTCAGCCGCCATCCTAAAAGCCACTAGAAAACTAAGGGAGGAGGGGTAGGCAAGAATGAGGGTTGGGAAAAAGAGGAAAAAATGCCTGCCAGAAGAGTCTATGAAATTGCCGAATGCCCCCCTAATTAGTTGCAACTGACTGCATTTCCGGAAATGCATTCGCAGCCAATGAAAATTGATTTCTTTTTTTTTTCCTGAAGCCACAAATTTACTCCAACATTGATGGAAATAAAAGTGTTGACAGGCCAAACATGACCCATAAGCTCTTGGTACAGCAGTGTGAAGTGTGACCTTAGGGTTTGCCAGAGAGAATTAGAGGTTTTTCTTCTTTTTACCAGGCAGATTGTATAATGCAATGGAGTGGTTCAAAATTTGACTGAGTAAATCTTACTTTTGCCACTAGTCTAACATTTAGGGGTCATTAAACTGGTCTGCATATTGATAGACTGTTCACACTCCTCTATTTTTCCGTAAGATCGTCGAGATCGAGCACTTTGCGTTTCGGGCTGCATCTTGCGTGAGTGTCAAAACTACTTAGGGGGTAGGGGGCGGTTTGGGAGGAAGCGAGAAAAATAGAGGGACTGTAATAACATCACTGCAGCTCGCGTTCAGGAGGCGTGACAGGAATTTCACGCCTTTTACCATTCATTAATTAAGAAACTCCGCTGGCGATGAAAAACATGCCAGACACATTTAGCATCGATTACGTGTGTTTACAAATATCTCCTTTCGAAACAGTGATTTTATAATGTTTCTAGGCCATTCCTACAAATAATATCGGCAAAGAGGCACGAAAGAAACATTTTCCTAATCGAATCGCTAAGCATGCTCGCTTGACCATAGACTAAAACGGTTAAAACGTTCCGATAAAAAGCCAGGCATTTCTGACAGGTCATCTTTTTTGCGTCGGCGTTGCGTTAAATTTCATTTCGTTTGGCAGAAACTGTGTTACAACATTCCCGCGGCCGGGCTGCTTCCAAAGCATGTTGGCTTACGTGATTCATCCGCAAAATACCAAAAATCGTTCGTGTGTTTGCGCAAGGTGTACCTTATGGTATGAAAGCGTGCATTTTACAGAAACGACGACTTGTCAACGACTTGTCAGTGTCTGCAACTTAAACTAAACCCGTTGTCAACGCAAATTAACATCTATTGTCTAATGACCAATCAAACGCCTGCGTTGCTGGTACAACGCGCTCCGTGAACACAAACTGCAGTTATGTTATTACAGTCCCTCTATTTTTCTCGCCCACCTCCCCCTAGAGCTATAATCCCCCACGCCCGCCCCCTCGGTACATTTGAAAATCAAGATGGCCGTCATTAACGGTAAGACGTGCTATATCTCAACGATCTCACGAAAAAATAGGGGACTGTGAACAGTCTAGCATATTGATTGTTTTTTCCCTCCCCTCCCCTATTTTGACCCATCAACCTCTCCCTTGGAATCGTTTTTTGACTCACCCCAAATCTCTGTCAGTTCAATGTCCAAATCATTTGCACTGCAAAATACACTTGCTTTGCAGGCTACTCCTATATAAAATGATGCTAATTCCCCTCCCCCCCCCCAACCCAGCCTCCTGGCTGCCCACAGACACTATAAGGTTCTCATCGCAAGTACTGATAACTTGTTAACTTGTTAACTTTTGTTATGTCTCACAAGGGAGCTAAGAAAGAATGGTCTCTTGCTGTTGTTTAATTATAAATTTTCAGTCTCAAATTCTGGTCACAACCTTCGCTTTAAGCTGACTGTAGCAAATTCTAATATGGCGTCTCAAACTTGAACGGAGAAGCCGTGCACAGTTGTTATTTTCTCTCGGTTCTTCACCACAATAGTTTGATCACCTCATGATCTGTTGTTAATGAGAAGCAGGTGTGACAACAGGTAACCCAGGCTCTCTGTGATAGTACTACGGTACAGTTCCGGTAAAATTACAATGTTTGTATGGGGAAAAAATACGATCCTCAAATTTTCTAGGAATACCAAATAAAGGTCAATGAAACTTACTCTGCAGCTAGTTGTTGTTGTTATTGTTGTTAATTTGGTCAAATTCACCCTCCCATGGAGGGTGAATTTGAGCAAAGTATCACAAAAATTCCTTTGAGCATAAAGGACAACAACAACTAACTGCAGAGGAAGGTTCATTGACCTTTATTTAGTATTTCCTACGAATTTAAGATCGTATTTTCACCCCATGCAAACACTATAATTTTACTGGAACCGTAGTGTGGTGTCTAGTGTGGTACCATCAAAGAGCCTGGGTTACCTCGTGTGACAACAGCTTGTGACGCAATCGAGCTCTTTCGTTCAAAAAACTTTTTCCTTGGTCACATAGCGGCTAATTACGTATCATACCATTACATATTTCCTGTCAAATTATTTCTACAAACCGTTAATTGCTTTTCTGTGACCATGAAACTCAAAAAATGGAAAAAGAAAAAAAAGTTGGGCCGGGGGGGGGGGGGGGGGGCGTGGGTTAATTTTTGCTGGGTATGTGCCACTGGCCTCTCAAAGCCCCTACCCCATTATAGTCTATTCTTTGGCCAGTTATAGACCCCATCTTCGTCACTTTTGGGAAAATGTAATTTTTGTGATCCCAACTTAGTAACTTTCTGTTTGTGCATCTACTTTATAAAGCCTTTTAACTACGTTATTCATGAAATGAATTTACACATTGGTTAAACTTACTGAAGTAAAAATCTACCCATTTTCAAATCCCCACCTACCCCAAATTCCGACAAAAAGTAATCCCATTCTAGTAAATCCAAAGAAAATGCAACCCCATTATGGTCAATCCAGCTGCGAAAATGTGACCCCATCCAGCTGCACATCCCCATTAGCCTATTGCATACACCTTATTCGATGGTTTAGCATATAATACGTGCGGATATTTTGCGAGTTGCGTAAAATAAATTACGATCAGTGAGCAAAATGTTATTATATGCCAAACCATCGAATAAGAGGTTTGTTATTCCACCACAAAAAAAAACCCAAATTTTATTTTGGCTTCTATTTTCAATTTTATTTCTGTCCACCGGTTCGTCCAGTTTAGCCACAGTTACCCCTTTTGCATCCGCCGGTATTCGCCCTGTTGTAAACCACAGGACACTACAGTGTATTACGGCCTCGTATTTGCGCGGTGGAATAATAATGCATCGGTCAATTCCATCTGCGCCCCCCACCCCCTTCCCCGGGCTGACCCCCGGGCATTAGATTTTTTTTGCCTTGGATGGCAAATTCCCAGGGGTGGGGTGGGTGCCCCGTCCTCCGTCGACACTGCAACATTTTTCATTGATTGTGCAGTCGAATAGTGCCGTTTTGAACATTTTAATATGCGATTTTTTGTTTTAAGTAACGTCTTCCTTTGTAATAGCGCTTGGATTCCTTACGCCGCGACGACATGCACCAGTTAATGGTTTTAGTATTGATATAAAGTTAAAATTAATAGAGTTCTGTAAAGTTATAAGTTATGAATAGGTTATAAATATGAAAAGATGTTCTTCAAATAATATCAAGAGAAATTTGATTCACTAACCAAAAAACGTTGATTCACGTCGATAGCTCTCGAGTTTCGCTATGCAATAATGGCTTGATAAACAATGAAGAAATCCATGCATAAAATCTAGAACATGCCTTTACAACCCCCTGTCGTTGACAGATGGGCTAATCTGCTTTTTTTCCAGTAATACCCTCTGTGTACTTCTATTCTGGTAGGAAACCGTGTTCGTCTCAAAGCTCGGGAATTGCCCCGGGGTTGGCAAATGCCCGGCCCCCTGGCAGCGCAAAATTTGCAAATGCCCCACCCACGGGACTGAAAAGGCGCGCAAATTCCCCGCAGTAGCCCGTGGGGGGGGCGGCTAGGCGCAGCTGAAATTGACTGATGCATAAGAGGAAGTATTCCCCTCCCCTTCCACCGGGATTTGGGCTCGACTAGAGGGTGGCTCGCGTTTAGCTCGTGAAACGACCAAACTCCCTCACAGTTACCTACTGATCAATAAGGCTGAGGACAATAAATTGAAGTTTGTCTGGTTATATTTCATCTCAACTCTTGTTAAGATGTCAGCTCATACTAAACCATGACGTTTTAAATCACCCATAGTCAAATTAAATCTCATCTTCAACTCATCCCGATATTTGACCATGGTAAGGTCCAGGTGCGAGCTCTCACAGCTTACATCACCACCGATGCATTCACCGTAACGAAGCACAGAACCGATGTTTGGTTCAACATGAAATGCTGTGTAGTACGTTTCTGATGGATTTATGATAGCATTTAAGTCTATATAAAAAGTTTTCTTGGGCGAAACAACACATCTAGATTGTCCAAATGTACGAGAAGAAGCCTTGAAATTGAATGTTTGCGTAAGAAGTTGAAGTTTCAGCTGAAGTTTTGAATTGTTAGTTGCAGATTTACTTGTGTCAAAAGTAAAGATTTGAAAACAGTAGCCTGCCGTGTCCTCGTCACCCAAATTTTGAAACATTTCGGGAGTTTTCCGGTATTTAAAAGGAATAATGAATTCGTCAAGGTTGTTAAAACCTACATAATCAAACCGCTCCAAGTTTCTATACATGCAGTCGTTAAGCGCCAGGGTTTTTCCGTTATCTTCAGTGTTTAAAGATATGTACTCTTGTATTTCCCATGGCAAGATAGTTGCTAATCCCTTCTGTTTGTAATATCGCAAAATTTTAAGAGTCTTTTCTTCAACTTTTGAGTTATAAAACGTGATATGGGACACGCCCAAAATCTGGGACAGTTCTATGAACTCCACGAGCCTTGCCGCGGGAATATCACCACCTATGGGCGGAACGCAAAGGCTATAAGGTTCGACTTTTAGCCTGCGGTCGACTAGATGTAACGGAATCTGTTTGGTGTTTTCAGACGTTTGCCTGTGTGATTCGGGATCAAGGGAAATGTTAACCGAACACAGTGTATAACTGTCGATTTCCTCTGGGAGCTCGCACGATGATATAAATCCGTGATAGAAATATTCGCCATGGTTATTTTCGAATTCTTCAACTTCTACGATACTACTAAAGAACTCGTACGTGTTTAAGTCCATGAAATGGCAGTACATTTCTGGAATCTCACCATAAGCTGGCAAAAATGAAATCAGACGAATGAAAGCTTGTTGCTTGAACCTGAAGTCCAGAAATGCTGAATAAATCACGCTTCCTGTTACGAGCTCGTGAAATTGTAACTTCTCGTCGTCAGCCCTCAACAAACATTCTTCGTAAGTTGGTTTTTGTACTGGGAATAAATTCTCCTCCATCGCCACTGGCTCTAAAACTTCGCTGGCAATTTTTTCCCGGTGTGAACTGGGAAAGTGTTTTGCTTGTCGAAGACCTTGCTCTGTTGTCGTGATTTCGCGAGAGACTTCCTCTTTCATGTTTAAAGCGGCAAAATGTTGTGAAATGTGTCGTGAATTCGCCCGTAGGTTGAAAAATACAAAAACTGATTGTGCAAAGACGATTCCCACACTTACAATCACGCAGACTCTTTTCATAAGTTTCTTCATCCGCCTTCTGGTCATGTTCAGTTTGATCAACGTGCTTGGAAAACACATGAAACCAATATAAACAACCCTTTACTGGTTCGCTCTTTGCTTTAGGCAAAAAGCACTCGTAGAAATTTGATAATAAAGATACGATCTTTCAGCAACTGATATGAAAAGCGGCCCGAACTCTATATAAGAAGTTGTTAGTTTGACGGGAATCTATTTACACCTTGCTTTAATCAATTAAGAAAAACATAACAGTACAATTATCTCCTTGCCGGATGTGTTTAAAACACATTTTTATTGTCAATTTGCTAACAGATTTCATGTAACAAGAAATGCAAGTCTTTGGCAATGTAAATGAACGTAGCTTCTAACCCCCAAAAAGAAAACTACAGTGGATTAATGTAGCTTTTAATTTGTGTGGGTGAAATTTAAAGTGTGACCATTCAAATGAAAGCTACCGAGCAATACTTTCCCGTGGCGCTGTTTATTATGCTATACAAGGTGGTTCTAACTTTTGAGTTTGTGGATGAAATCCTAAATTTTGACCACTTAAATAAAAGCCACTGAGTAGTGCTTTCCCGTGGAACTGCTTAGTATGTTATACATGCAAGTTGAGATGACTCTAAATTACAAAACTATACGCTATGTAAAAGAGAAGGATTTTCCCGTGGAACTTTTGCGTTTGGCACCCAATTTACGACTTTTTATCACTTTTTGTCGAATTTTTCTCCAGTGACATCTCTTATTTGAATGAGTTGATAATTTTATCTTCTATTGTCGAGGCTTGTGTAGTTTGTTTTTTTTTAAGTATTCTTCAACATAAAGCGTGTGTATATATGTGGTTTTCATAAGCACGGGCATATTTACTCACATGTTGCATCCACTAACATTTTTCAAACTTCAAACTCAAAGCACATGATAGAACTTGTAAGATGAATTTGTCATTTGAAAGGAAAGGTCATCCGGACCGGACATGGATACTGCAATCAATTTGCTTTCACGTTCCGATCATTCTTAGCCATTTTTAGTTTGTTTTATCTTACCGTGATAAATTGATTGATAAAGCACCTATGAAAGTAGTTAATCCATCTGCGAAACTTGAAAAATAAATCATACTTTGTGAAATACGGTTTTAGAGGTTTCGTTTGACTGGTAATAATCTTAATTTTATCCGCTGACTCAAAAGTTAGAACTCCCTTACTGACTCCATTGTCGCTTTCGGGGTTAAGTTTCTGCCGATTCAAAGGACTGATCCTAGAATCTCTTAGCATTAGCTGAACCCTGTTTGATTTTAAAATGGCATCCGACTGACACTGAATTGAACCGGGCCAATCCATAATTTCATCCTGGATGAAAACGTCGAGCCACATGTGAAGCTAAAAACCATTACTACGCACACAGAAAAAAACTAGTTTAATTCAAGGAAAGATTTTAAAAAAGCACACACACAAACATTTGACCACTATCGATCGATAAATGTCGGAAGTGAGTTTTTTGTATTATATCGATGATCCCCTTTTACAAGCGACTTTTTGAATTAGAAAATCCTTTTGGAATTAATGTTGAGTTTCTGTTGGTAATCGAGCATGTACAGAATGTTTGTGGAAACGCCTTTCGACACGCAATTTGATAACAATAAGCAAGCTATAACGAAACTAGATAGATAGCAGTGGCCCCATATTCGACTGAAAAATATGCCTAGCTATAGAGATGACAAGGAAACTAAAACTAAAATATTTTGGAGTTATTTGTATCTGGCTTCTATTTGTATAACAGGCGCGTTTCTTCTTCACCTTACAGTCGATCAACTGCAAGAAAAATGAACGCGAAAGGAAGTTTGATATTGATCAGCATAATCCATGTCTTTATACAGGGTGAGTGTTAATCTGTTAATCAATTTCAAGGTCTTTAACCACTAAATAGGGACTTAAAGCAACAACCACGGAAGGTTCTGGTACGGTGACCGGAAGTATTTTTTTCCCGCCACTCGTCAAGGCGTCAAGTTCAAAGTATCACGGCGGCTATAGAGGTCAAAACGTCGCTGTTCAATAAAAAGTGAATTCGCATTTTTTCATTCTTTTTCGCGATTACTACAAGTCGCTTATTTTGTCAAATGTAGGCAAACTCATAGAGGAAAAAAGTTCGTCTTCGTTTGTTTACTTCAGGCATCAATAAAACGTGAAGTTAGGCATTTTCACGTCGTGGCCGTGCAGTGATCACAAAGAAATGTTGATAGAACAATAGGATATTAGGAGCACGTGCAAAGTTGTTGATTTGCTAATTCAAAAACTTATTCACTGGCCGTATACTGCGCTTCCCGAATACGTAGAAGATCATGGCTGGCCGTAGTGTCTAATACGTTAAGTGTTTAGTGGCATTTTACGTGCTTAGAACGCCAGTGTATATCTGAAACAGAATCGCAAGATATACGCATTTTATCCTTTTTTTAATAGTCATCCTTGGAATTTTCTGAATCAAAGGTTCATTTTTCGATCATGAGCCTCAAATTTGAGTGTTAAGCAAGTGAAAAATGCAGCCAAATACGCCAGGAGCCCATCAAATGGAGCCTCCATCTCCCATACAAGCCCTTGGAGTCAACCCTTTCCCGAGTAGATTTATAATTAGAACGGTTCCCAGGGGAGATTTCGCGCGCGGACGATGGGAAGAGCCAATCACAACGACGTAATGACACTGCTATTGTACTTCATCAAACAGTAGGAAATTCGGTGTTGACAAGCCAAACACAATCATAAGCTAGTGAAACGTGACTTTTGCGTTTTCATCCCATTTGATGGGCTCCTGAATACGCAAAATACAGTTGACGGGAAAGAGGATTTCATAATGGATATCATCTCACCAAGTGGTGTGAATAAGACTGATAAAACACAAGGAAGGCCTGAATTTGACCATGAATCGCCCTTTTTTACGAAAGTTTTTTTTTACATTTCCTTTCCGTGGGGGTCACTGCACGGCTTTACCCTCATGAAGGGTTCGCCAACATTTGACAGAGTAAGCGAGTTGGAATAATCGCGATAAAGAATAAAAGAACAGGAATACACCTTTCAGGGACGTTTTCACCGCTATAGCCGTCGTGATATCTTTAAACTCGCTGACTGGCGTTGACGGGTGGCGAAAAAAATTACTTCCGGTCACCGTACTAGAACCTTCCGTAGTCTTTGCTTGAAGTCCCTATCTTTGCCCAGGGCTCTTCGACTCCATGTCTGTTCATTACTGCCTTTAGCTAGTATGCCTGTAGAGTACAGTATGTTGCCCAGTATCCGGACACTTCAGTTTAAAATTGCAATAACTTTCCTTTGTTAATCGCAAGAGCTCTGAAATTTGGCCCAGAAAAAATCTATCTAGTCCTTAATATGACGAAAGATAGTTTAACTTTTTTGCCTTTGTTTCCATCGCGAAATTAAAATTTTTGCAGAGCTCCTATGTTGCCCAGTATCCGGACACAGCAATAACAACGTAATTGTACATAAATTTCGATAGGCGAGCGACTTATAAGCTTCTCTTGCACTTGCAAAGTAGTCTGGCAATCGATTCCGAAAATATAACCTGGCATCGTGAAATAAAACCTAACAAATGACTGGGGTATGGTGGGGAACGCGAGCGGCTGTTTTAAAAATGGTATAATTCTCACTTCTTTGTCTAGGAACTTTTTCACTGATTTAAGGAAGGTATCCGTAGACATGCCGAAGCCGCAGTTTGCAAGCTCAATTAGCCAATCTGCAAACGACTTTCTTTCTTCATTTTTTATTTAAAGAAAAGCTTGGGGAAGGGACCTCAACCCGACAGTCAAAGGTCACTCTCCTATTTAGTCTGACCTGCAGTGTTGATTTCTTCAGGCTCAGTCCCCACAACGAGCCTGCTTTTCTAGCACTAATTCTTCCTTCTTTCGCATCTCTCAATCCCTTTGTGACATTTTTTAGACCATTGCAACCCCATTCTAGCAGTCCCAACTGGGGAAAGTATGAGAATTCCAGGTTCAACTCAGACGCTTTCAGTTATATATAGAAAATGCAGGCACGCGAAACAAGCCGTGCACACGAAATCAAGTCGACTCTGAATGAGTGGAGAAAATTTCCGTGCGGAGTTGAGTAGAGTTACATTTTACGACTATATCATATATCCTAAGCTTTAATTATAGTTACTGATATGAAATAAATCTTATCCGGAGAATGTACACAACTAATTCATCGATTCTGTACAGCAAAGAAAAAACTGTCCGGATACTGGACACATGACATCAAAACTTAGTGAATGTTTCTGGCTTCCGTTATTCCAAACAAATCGAATTTCAAGAAGAATTAATAAACTTTCTGAAAACCTGACTTCCTTAAGTATCTTCACTTTAAAAATAAAACAGTTTCTTTGAAAATATAACACATTACGCTCCCTTTTCTGAGCAGCACTAACTTTACTGCGCAGTAAACAGCGTAAATATTAACCAAGAAAAGTTTACTCACCTAAACAGAACGGCGTCTTCTGCGACTGTTTCGCAAGCTTTCAAATCGCCAAAACTTTCATCTTAAAGCTGAAATGTTCAGCTTTCATTCGAAATACTTTGTTTACCGATAACTGAAAAGGGCCCCTCAAAACTTGAGTTCTTGTTTCAAGTGTCCGGATACTGGGCAACATACTGTATATATACACCCAGTTTCACATTACCCACAACACCCATCGCCTCCTGTTTCTCCTGGGGGACCTCAAATGGTTTTTCCGGGTGCGGAATGCTGGATTTTCCTTATTTGGAGCTCGGGATGCGGGATTTGCCTTAGTTCAAGGCCGGGATTCGGGATTTTCAAACAAAATTAGGACGAGATTCGGGATTAGAGTATGCAGGTAATGCAGGATGCCCAAACTAACCATCGGCATTACGAGATTCAGCGAGAATTTGGGGCGTAAATGAGGGCATTGAAGAACACTAATATGGACCTTCTCCTTTGGGTATTAACCTTTTAAACCTTAAGATCAAAATTCAAATTTTCATTTGTTATCCCTATACGTTTTCAATAAAAGTAGTGGTGAGAATTTGTTAAAGTATCAATAAGATCCATCTTGTGTGATCATGTCCGTAATTCTCATGACCATTCTCTTTTATAAAGCAGTGATATTACAAGGTGAAATTTGACGCTGATCACTCTTAGGGCTTAAAGGGTTAAAAATGCCTATGCAAAATTTTATGCAAACTTTTTCCGGGAAAACAAGGCGAGTTATGAACATACAATACAAAAATTTTGTCCAGTTTGAGGTTTAGATTACGCCATTCAGAGTATGCCTCGGTCTCTCCTGCCCCTTGTCTTTGAGGATTGAATTTCACCATCATGCATTGTATATGTATGCCTCTCCCCTCCACTCCATAAATGCTTTACAATGTCACCAAAAGGCTTGTTTGCTATATAAAACGTCGAAAAACGTTTTTTCACGATTCATTTTCACGATCTATTACATTAAAAAGTTGAATTTTTTTCATCTTTTGTGTTTATCAAAAATAGATCGAGAAAACGTGTTTCCTGCCGTTCTAGATAAAGTAGCCTTCAAAGACTACAAGAATATCTGTTTATTAAAAACTCAAAATTAGAATTTTTGAAAAGGGGTTAGTCCATTGTTTTGGTCAAAAATTGGAGATTTCTTCAACTTTGATTTTTACACAAAATAGACCAAGAAAAAGTATCTGGGAACGTTCTATTTAAGAAAAAGTTTCTGAAATCCTTTATAACTCCCTGTCACGCCTTGTAACCCGTTGTAACCCCCTGTTACCCCTTGTAACTGCCTGTCACCCCTTGTAACCCCTTCTAACCCCCTGTATTCTCATGTAATAGGTTGTGAAAATAAGTCGTGAAAAAAGGATTTTCGACATTTTATATAGCAAAGAAGCTTTTCTGGATACTAAAAACATCGCTTTCAATAACCCACAAAATTGGCAGTTTTCCAAAGGTTTAGTTTAGTTAGTTTTGGTGAAAAATTTGAAATTTTGTTAACGTTTCGTTTTATGCAAAATACACCGAGAAAAAGTTTTTGCTGACGTTCTCGTTACAAAACAAGCCTTTCTAGACAATACAAACATGGATTTAAAAAGAACGCCAAACTGGCATTGTTCTAAAGGGCATAGTCCATGATTTTGTTCAAAAAGTTGAAGTTTTTTGATCTTTTGTTTTTATCAAAAAAACATCGCGAAAAAGCGTTTGCTGACGTTCTACATAAAAAAGAAGGCTTAAAAGACTACACGAATATCTGTTTATTAAAAACACAAAATTAGAAGTTTTGCAAAGCGGTTAATCCATCGTTTCGGTCAAAAATTTGACTTTTCTTGGACTTTGATTTTTTTGCAAAAAGTATGTATGTTCTTTGTGTCCGTTGTCACCATTGTCACCGTTGTCACCATTGCCACTGTTGTCGCTGTTGTCACTGTTGTCGCTCTTGTCGCTGTTGTCACCGTTGTCACTGTTGTCACCCTTGTCACCGTTGTCACCGTTGTCACTGTTGTCACTGTTGTCACCGTTGTCCCTGTTGTCACTGTTGTAACTGTTGCACCGTTGTCACCGTCGTTGCCATTGTCACTGTTGTCACGGTTGTCACCGTTGTCACCATTGTCACTGTTCTCACCGTTGTCACCGTTGTCACTACTGTCACTAGGGACTTTAAGATAGGTCACTACGGTCGCCTGGGACGGTTAGATAGATGTCACGTCACGCAAAACACGCGTGACCTTTTACCGTCGTCCTTCTGGGACGGTATGTTTTCGCCGGGTTTCTCGTCGTGAAGACAACGGTGAAACCGTTGAGAGTTCATGAATACTTATTGTCACTTTTCTTCTAAAACTGAGTAGCCAATGGGTTAAATATGCGTTCGCTTGTGTTTACATTGATTTACCTATCGGTGAAATGAAAAAAAAAGCGAAAATGTCTGAGTTCATTCATAACTTAGCTCGCGGCCGCATGGCGACTGCTTGTCTTCTACCCAGTGTCGTCCACCATGCACCATGGCAGAGGAAAATTGCCGAAAAGAAAGGTAAGGCCCAGTTCAAACGTTCATCTTTTCATGTACCGAACTTAATACCTATTTAGGTCGACCCAAATGGTTCGAGGTTGATTCAGGCGTCGAACTTAAAGTATAGTCGAACTCGATTCATTTTCACGATGTTCAATGGTCTAGAATGCTTTAAACAAGTGAAAATAAATTTTAGTAATTTGTGCTTTAGTTTCGGCACATGAGAAGTTCGACGTTTCAACTGGGCCTAACAGTGATGATTGTAGCCGTCTTTTTATAACTTAAAACTGTATTTTTATCAAGAAAAGATTTCTTTAACTCAAATTTGTGTTGGCTTAGGAAAGGAAAGTTCAAATAAAAACATCGACTACAGTTTTGAAAACTAGCTAGCTTTAATTTGTACCCTTATTCTTCTGATTGGTATTCTTCGTATAAAGTAAGAAACTCTTCTTCAGTAATTGAGCCTTCTGCGAAAGAAATTACAAGCGAGTTTCGCACATGACTTCACCGTCCTCTGTTTTGTTGTCCGATCTTAAATTGAAAATTTTCGCGGCTTCTTACCGTCATGGCCCCAGGCCGCCCGTATACGCATCCAACCGTCCCAGCCTACCGTAGTGACCTATCTTAAATTCCCTACTGTTGTCACCATTCCCACTGTTGTCACCGTTGTCACCGTTGTCACTGTTGTCACTGTTGCACCGTTGTCACCGTTGTCACCGTTGTCACTCTTGTCACTCATGTCACTCTTGTCAGTGTTGTCATCGTTGTCAGCGTTGTCACTGTTGTCACTGTTGTCACTGTTGTCACCGTTGTCACTGTTGTCACCGTTGTCACTGTTGTTACTGTTGTCACCGTTGTCACTGTTGTCACTGTTGTCACCGTTGTCACTGTTGTCATTGTTGTCACTGTTCTCACTGTTGTCACAGTTGAACCGTTGTCACTGTTGTCACTGTTGACACTGTTGTCACCGTTGTCACTGTTGTCACCGTTGTCACTGTTCTCACTGTCCTCACTGTTGTCCCTGTTGTCACTGTTTTCACCGTTGTCAATGTTGTCACCGTCGTCACCGTTGTCACCGTTGTCACTGTTGTCACTGTTGTCACCGTTGTCACTGTTGTCACTGTTGTGACCGTTGTCACTGTTGTCACCCTTGTCACTGTTGTCACTGTTGTCACTGTTGTCACCATTGTCACCATTGTCACTGTTGTCACCGTTGTCACTGTTGTCACCGTTGTCACCGTTGTCACCATTGTCACTGTTGTCACTGTTGCACCGTTGTCACCGTTGTCACTTTTGACACTGTTGTCACCGTTGTCACTGGTTTCACCGTTGTCACTGGTTTCACCGTTGTCACTGTTGTCACTGTTGTCACCGTTGTCACTGTTGTCACTGTTGTCTCTGTTGTCACTGTTGTCACTGTTGCACCGTTGTCGCTGTTATCACCGTTGTCACCGTTGTCACCATTGTCACTGTTGTTACTGTTCACTGTTGTCACTGTTGTCACCGTTGTCACTGTTGTCACTGATGTAATTGTTGCCACCCTCGTCACCGTTGTCACCGTTGTCACTGTTGTCACTGTTCTCACTGTTCTCACCATTGTCAAGGTTGTCACTGTTGTCACTGTTGTCACCGTTGTCACTGTTGTCACTGTTGTCACCGTTGTCACTGTTGTCACTGTTGTCACCGTTGTCACCGTTGTCACTGTTGTCACTGTTGCACCATTATCACCGTTTTCACCATTGTCACCGTTGTCACTGTTGTCACCGTTGTCACTGTTGTGCCTGTTCCACCGTTGTCACAGTTGTCAGCATTGTCATTGTTGTCACTGTTGTCATTGATGTCACTGCTGTCATTGTTGTAACTGTTGTCACTGTTGTCACTGTTGCCACTGTTGCAATGTTGTCACCGTTGTCACCATTGTCACTGTTGTCACTGTTGTCACCATTGTCACTGTTGTCACTGTTGCACCGTTGTCACCGTTGTCACTTTTGGAACGGTTTTCACTGTTGTCACTTTTGGCAACGTTGTCACTGTTCTCACCGTTGTCACTTTTTTCACTGTGTTCACCGTTGTCACTGTTGTCACTGTTGCATTGTTGTCGCCGTTGTCACCATTGTCACTGTTGTCACTGTTGTCACCGTTGTCACCATTGTCACTGTTGTCACTGTTGTCACTGTTGCACCGTTGTCACCGTTGTCCCTTTTGAAACTGTTGTCACCATTGTCACTGGTTTCACCGTTGTCACTGTTGTCACTGTTGTCACCGTTGTCACTGTTGTCACCGTTATCTCTGTTGTCACTGTTGTCACTGTTGCACTGTTGTCACTGTTATCACCGTTGTCACCGTTGTCACTGTTATCACCGTTGTCACCGTTGTCACTGTTGTCACCATTGTCACCATTGTCACTGTTGTTACCGTTCACTGTTGTCACTGTTGTCACTGTTGTCACTGATGTCATTGTTGCCACCTTTTGGACTGTTGTCACCGTTGTCACTGTTGTCACCATTGTCACCGTTGTCACTGTTGTCACCGTTGTCACTGTTGTCCCTGTTGCACCGTTGTCACCGTTGTCACCATTGTAACTGTTGTCACTGCTGTCACATTTATCACTGTTGTCACCGTTGTCACTGTTTTCACTGTTGTCACCAGTGTCATCGGTGTTACCGTTGTCACCGTTGTCACTGTTGTCACTGTTGCACTGTTGTTACCGTTGTCACCATTGTCACTGTTGTCTCTGTTGTCACTGTTCTAACTGTTTTCACCGATGTCACCGTTGTCACTCTTGTCACCGTTGTCACCGTTATCACCGTTGTCACTGTTGTCACTGTTGTCACCGTTGTAGCCGTTGTCACACTGTCACTGTTGTCACGGTTCTCACCTTTGTCCCTGTTGTCACCATTGTCACTGTTCTCACTGTTGTCACCGTTGTCACTGTTGCACCGCTGTCACCATTGTCGCTATTGTCACTCTTGTCACTGTTGTCACTGTTGCACCGTTGTCACCGTTGTCAGCGTTGTCTCTGTTGTCACGGTTGTCACCGTTGTCAACGTTTTCACTGTTGTCACCGTTGTCACTGTTGCACTGTTGTTACGGTTGTCACCATTGTCACTATTGTCACTGTTGTCACTGTTGTCACTATTGTCACCATTGTCACTGTTGTCACTGTTGTCACCGTTGTCACTGTGTTCACCGTTGTCACCGTTGTCACCATTGTCACTGTTCTCACTGTTGCACCGTTGTCACCGTTGTCACTTTTGACACTGTTGTCAACGTTGTCACTGGTTTCACCGTTGTCACTGTTGTCACCGTTGTCACTGTTGTCACCGTTGTCTCTGTTGTCACTGTTGCACCGTTATCACCGTTGTCAGCGTTGTCTCTGTTGTCACGGTTGTCACCGTTGTCAACGTTTTCACTGTTGTCACCGTTGTCACTGTTGCACTGTTGTTACGGTTGTCACCATTGTCACTATTGTCACTGTTGTCACTGTTGTCACCGATGTCACCGTTGTCACTGTTGTCACTGTTGTCACCGATGTCACCGTTGTCACTGTTGTCACTGTTGTCACCGTTGTCACTGTTGTCACTGTTGTAACCGTTGTCACTGTTGTCACTGTTGTCACTGTTGTCACTGTTGTCACCGTTGTCACTGTTGTCATTGTTGTCACTGTTCTCACTGTTGTCACAGTTGAACCGTTGTCTCTGTTGTCACTGTTGCACCGTTGTCACCGTTGTCAGCGTTTTCTCTGTTGTCACGGTTGTCACCGTTGTCAACGTTTTCACTGTTGTCACCGTTGTCACTGTTGCACTGTTGTTACGGTTGTCACCATTGTCACTATTGTCACTGTTGTCACTGTTGTCACCGATGTCACCGTTGTCACTGTTGTCACTGTTGTCACCGATGTCACCGTTGTCACTGTTGTCACTGTTGTTACTGTTGTCACCGTGGTCACCGTTGTCACTGTTGGCACTGTTGCACCGTTGTCACCGTTGTCACTGTTGTCACCGTTGTCACTGTTGTCACCGTTGTCACTGTTGTCCCTGTTCCACCGTTGTCACCGTTGTCAGCATTGTCACTGTTGTCACTGCTGTCACTGTTGTCACTGTTGTAACTGTTGTCAGTGTTGTCATTGTTGGCACTGTTGTCACCTTTGTCACTTTTTTTACTGTGTTCACCGTTGTCACTGTTGTCACTGTTGTCACTGTTGTCACCGTTGTCACCATTGTCACGGTTGTCACTGTTGTCACTGTTGCACCGTTGTCAACGTTGTCACTTTTGAAACTGTTGTCACTGTTGTCACTGTTGGCACTGTTGTCACTGTTGTCACCGTTGTCACTTTTTTCACTGTGTTCACCGTTGTCACTGTTGTCACTGTTGCATTGTTGTCACCGTTGTCACCATTGTCACTTGTCACTGTTGTCACCGTTGTCACTGTTGTCACTGTTGTCACTGTTGTGACTGGTGCATCGTTGTCACCGTTGTCACTTTTGAAACTGTTGTCACCGTTGTCATCAATGTCACTGGTTTCACCGTTGTCACTTTTGTCACTGTTGTCACCGTTGTCACTGTTGTCACCGTTGTCTCTGTTGTCACTGTTGCACTGTTGTCGCTGTTATCACCGTTGTCACCGTTGTCACTGTTGTCACTGTTGTCACCATTGTCACCGTTGTTACCTTTGTCACCTTTGTCACTGTTGTCACCGTTGTCACCGTTGTTACCTTTGTCACCTTTGTCACTGTTGTCACCGTTGTCACGGTTGTCAGTGTTGTCACCGTTGTTACTGTTGTCACTGTTGTTACTGTTGTCACCGTTGTAACTTTTGTCACTCTTGTCACTGTTGTCACCGTTGTCACTGTTGTGACCATTGTCAGCATTGTTACTGTTGTCACCGTTGTCACTGTTGTCACTGTCGTTACCATTGTCACTGTTGTCACTGCTGTCATTGTTGTCACCCTTGTCACCCTTGTCACCGTTGTCACTGTTGTCACTGTTGTTACCGTTGTCACCGTTGTCACTTTGTTCACCGTTGTCACTTTGTTCACCGTTGTCACTGTTGCACCGTTGTCACCATTGTCACTGTTATCACTGTTGTCATCGTTGTCACCGTTGTCACTTTTGTCACTGTTGTCACCGTTCTCACAGTTGTCACTATTGTCACCGTTCTCACTGTTGTCACCGTTGTCACTGTTGTCACTGGTGCAGCATTGTCACCGTTGTCACTGTTGTCACTGTTGTCACCGTTGTGACTGTTTTTACTGTTGTCACTGTTGTCACCGATGTCACTTTTCTCACCGTTTTCACTGATGTCACTGATGTCACTGTTGCAACTTTGTCACCATTGTCACTGTTGTCACCGTTGTCACTGTTGTCACTGTTGTCACTTTTGTCACCGTTGTCACTGTTGTCACCGTTGTCACTGTTGTCACTGTTGCACCGTTGTCACCTTTGTCCCTGTTGTCACTGTTGTCACCTTTGTCCCCGTTGTCACTGTTTTCACTGTTGTCACCGTTGTCGCCTTTGTCACCGTTGTCGTTGTTGTTACCATTGTCAACGTTGTTGCTGTTGTCACCATTGCCGCTGTTGTCGCTCTTGTCATTCCTACCGCGTTTGGTCACCCGATTAAATTTTGGGCAAATTAAATCTCTATTACTACATCTAGTTACACGACTATTTTGCTGACCGAGTTCTCAATATATAAGGGAACTTCACCCTGGATGCGTTTGTGTGCCACACAATATTTAGCTATTTTCTCTTCTTCAGAAAGAGGAAGCTATTGTAGACTATTAAAAAGCTTAACACTAGACGCCTGGTTATTAGGGTCGGAAATTACCGTTGCTGCTCTCTTTTGGAGCTTAAGAACACGGCTTAAATTCTCCTTATCACAACTAGTCCAGATTGAACTGACATAATACAATACAGATCTTATCATAGAATTATAATACAATAGCCTTTGTTTCGTGGGCAGGCAAGATCTTATCTTTTTTAATACGCCAATTCGCTGAGACAGCTTTTTACAAAGTTTCTCTACATAGGAAGTAAATGAGAGTTCAGAGTCAATTTCGAGACCTAGCAGCTTAGGACTGGGAACGAGTTCGAGTTCAGTTCCTTTGATAGTAAAAGTCATTCCTTCATTGATCTTTGAGGGGAGACGCTTGCCAGTGATGAGCATAGCCTTGGTTTTACCTTCATTAATTGGCAGTTTGTCCGAAGCTGCCCAATCGACGATTTCGGCAATTGACGAGTTTAGGGTACCCTCTAACCTTCCGATAGAGCTATAGTTCGTACTGGAAGTCAGCGCTGTGTCGTTAGCATACAAATCAATTCTTGATTAAGTGACGTAAAGCGGTAAGTCATTGATAAAGACGATAAATAACAAGGGGCCAAGTATGGATCCCTGGGGAATACCATGACGAACAATAGCGACACTTGACTGTTTATCTCCCAGCTTAACAAGTTGGCGTCTGTCCTTTAAATAAGAGGTAAACCATTGAAGAGAATCCCTACTAAGACCATACACTTCAAGTTTCTCTAACAACAGGGTGTGATCAATCATGTCAAACGCTTTACGATAATCTACCAAAACCATTCCACTGACACGGTCATTGTCAAGGTTGAATAGCAGATCGTCAATAATCTTGATCAAGGCAGTTTCAGTACTTTGCTTCGAGCGAAAGCCCGATTGTCTGATGTAGATTAAATCGTTTTCGTACAAAAAGTTGTAGAGAGCATTGTGAACATGTCTCTCCGCAGTCTTAGACAGAAAGGGTAAAACTGATATTGGACGATAGTTTTTAACATCAGTGTGGTCTCCGCTTTTCAAGATTGGTGTTACCTTGGCAGTTTTCCAACGACTGGGAAACACGTTTAAAGAAAAAGATGGGTTGATGAACTTTGTGGTTGAAAGTGCAATAATCGGAGCTGCTAGTTTAAGCATTTGAGAACTGATGCCGTCTTCACCAGTAAATTTATTGGAACCAATTTTCAAAAGATAGCCAAAAGCGTCTGCTTCTGCTATAGGTGGAATTGAGAAAGCAGCAGTTTCATCCTTCCGAGATCTTACTTAGAGGTTTCAAACAGCACGTCGGGTAACAGTTTTCTCAGCTTATCTGCAATGGTTGAGAAGTGAACATTGATTGCTTCAGTCATTTCTTCGTTATTTCCTAAATCTTTCTCTTTGTTGCTTATTGACACTGATGAGCGATTTGCTGGTCTTCCACATTCCCTTGGTGTTATTCTTATTATCTCGAAGGTAGTTTTAAAGAACTCGGACTTGGCTCTTCTCAAGAGAAAAACTGCTTTATTCCGAGCTCCTTTGTAGCTTTCCCAGTCGGCAGGAGTTTTTGATCTTTTTGCAATTTTTAGAAGCCTGTCTTGCTTCCTCAGCTGCTTGATGACAGAACTATCTAACACGGGCGATTCTGTGGCCTTTGCAACTCGTTTAACTCGCCAAGGACGTTCGAATTTAGTGCCGAATTAAACAACGATTCCCACGAGGAGAGCATATCATCGATGTCGTCAAAAATAAATACCGAATTGTCTTGAAAAGTACTTGATTTCTTTATATGGTCTTGAAAAGTCCTTGAAACTCACTACTTCGTTTTCGCCACGTCATTTTCTGTTAAATTAGATTTTAGACCATAGGAAAAGTAACCAGTACAAAACAGAGAAAAAGGTCAGCGGAGTGAAACGAAAATAAATGGTCAGTACAAAACCGGAAGGAACATTATTTAGTCTGTGTTTCTTTATTTCAAATGCTATTTTTGTATCTCAGACTGCAAGTCATACCCAGTGACTTCATTTTGCAAAGTAGTGTTGTTACGGAAAGGAGTACAACATAATGTGAGAGATTATCAACCAGGGCTGAAGATGTAAAAATCGTAAACGACTCCATCGAGTGTTTTAGCCAGTATTAGGTGTTCAAAAGGGGTCAAAGAACGCTGAATTATTAGGCCTTGAAAAGTGTAATTTGTCCTTGAAAAATCCTTGAATTTTTTTTCTCTGAAGTTGTACAAACTGCATCTACCAGTTCTTTTGCAATTTCTGTCCAAACACGATCATCTCTCTGATATACATACCATGGGCTGTAGTTCGTTTTTCGGCACAAATTCACCGGAAATCTTCTATTTACCAATTAGTCAATATTTAGGAGATAAAGAAATCCCTTGACACTTATTCTCATAACTTTTTTTAACTTCTCTTTTAGTTTTGGTTTCTATGCGAACTTGTGCTACAGCAGCAAAGGAGGAAAATTCCGATAGGGCTCATTGTGCCGCTGATGGAAAGTGCTTTCTGAATGAAGAGGGTGAGTGTGGTTCGGCAAGGAGACATATAATAGCTGGTGAGCGTTACGTTTGGTTTTCACTAGCGACGGAGTCAGAGAGGGAGTCGCGAGCAAAGTCGTTAGAGCGCTTATCACCCAGTGAAAATCAAAAATCGAAGTCGTAAGCGGAGTCATAAGCGAGGCAGTATACTATTCTTACAAAGCGGAAAGACCCAAAGTTTTGTCGGCTGAAAGGTCTTCAGCATGCGCTGTTGGTTAGTTCATGTCATTGTTTATCCTGAGCATTCAGATGCAATGTTTAACGTCGTCTAAACTTTCATTACATGAGGTGCGTGCACAGCCCGTGTTTATTTGTTTAGGTTTCTAACAAGCAAGCCGTTTTGTCTCCGTTAGAATGTTTCTGTTGGAAAACGTTTCCTTTACAGTAGAAGGTAAAGATTACCTTAGCGGGCAAGAAATGAATAGGCAATCAAGGTTTCTGCCTTTTCGGTAGAAGAAGCCATTCGAGCCTGATTTTCTTCGGGTTTATTTTCAACCTCTTATGTTGTTCATTCAACTGTGAGATTAACATTAACTTCCATAGAATGAGCACGGTTGGATTTTACAAACAAATCTCGGTTTGCCTCAGCGGGCGAAGTCTCTACGGGTAAAGCGAAATTGCAACGACACCCAGACAAGAAGTGCCGAAAATCACGTACTTAGTTCTGTTCATGTCAGTTACAAGTTGAAGTTTTGGAATTTTTTTTTAGACAATACTCATCAAGCCAACACCATAACAGAGCATGCACACAAATCACTTTACACCAAACATTCTGTGCCATTGATTCCTGAAGGAAAGAAACCTATTCTTCTATGGTGGACTCAAGACCTATTTCCACATGACCGCAGCCAAAGTAATCATGAGATTACGTGTAAGAAAGGCACGTGTATCACCTCCATTGATCGCGGTCTCAAAAATGACCCCGCGACTCGAGCATTTATCTTCTATGGTACAGATCTGCGCGCTGATGACTTACCGCTGCCACGAAGGCCTTGGGACGAGTGGGCGCTTTTTCACGAGGAGTCACCGAAGAACAACTGGATGCTGACCTTCGAGGACGCGCTGGTGTAAGTATGGCGTCGAGGTCATGGTTACTTTTTACGATGCTTTTTTGTGAATTGGTCATTTCCGAGTTCCAAAACCCCAGCGTTTTTCAACACTAGGCTAAGTGCAAACCCTTTCTTGTGGGAATGAGCCTTATTTTGGGTGAGAACTAAAAAATAAGTTCATATCAAAGGCTACGCGCGTATCATCGTTTTGGGACAAAGGCTCGGTAAACCTGGAAATGGTCTGTTATAAGCCTGCACTGTCTCTTTGCAGTTAGAAGTCGACTCGTAAAACCTCTATCTTTAGCAAAGAATTTACTGAACATTAACACTTTTGCCACACAGAACTTTTGCATTATTGATAGTCTTGATATTATAATAGACCTTTTACCCGATACGGCGGCCATATTGAATTAATTCGATTTAAGGAGTATTATAGGATGCTCAGGGGGCAAGAGCACATTTCTTTTGTATTTTCGAGCGCTTTTCGGGACATTTTTTCCTAAGGTTTTCTTAGAATAAGATTGTAATGGGAAAAAAGATCCTTGTGCCGCGTTTGGATGTAATAATGATCGCCTTTTCCCCGAGAAATATACAGTGAAAGACCATATTTCTAATACTAAACTAGAAAAAGACGATTATTATTACATCCAAACACGGCACAAGGATATTTTTTCCCATTACAATCTTATACTAAGAAAACTTTAAGAAAAAATGTCCCGAAAAGCGCTCGAAAATACAAAAGAAATGTGCCCCTGGGCATCCTATAATACTCCTTAAATCGAATTAATGCAATATGGCCGCCGTATCGGTGAAAAGGTCTATTGGTAGGAACAATGCTGCATTCTGCCTTTTCATTAATATTTGAATAGTAATGATGCAAAATTGTAACAGTGCAAGACGTCAACAAATCTTTGCCCATAGAGTTTACGTTAAACTTAAGCGTCTGAAATGTTCGATCTCAGGGTCTTAGGAGTTAAAAGGCTTTTTGCATGTACCTGTTTTTCTCTCATCTTTTGTAGTCTTTTTAATCACACGGCAACATTTCGACGTGAATCGGATTATCCTCTTTCGACTCACTTTATAAAAGATCTAAAGGATTGGACAGAGACGCCTGCAGTTTCAATCACGGAGAAAAATAGGTCAGTAACCGATACATATGCTTCTGACGTAAATAACTGCCCTAAAAATGTAGTGTCTACAGCAGCACACTGGGTGTCAAAATCTTCCTCGGCGGGTTTGGATGTGACGTCACCCATCAAGCTAGTCAGGATAGTTCGCTATCGCGCTCGATTCCAGGTCTCCTCCACTGACTCGGATTGAGACGAGTTTGGGTATTAAAGATTTTCCCGCCTTATTTCCACTGTTGTTTGTTTTGCCCCATCGATAGTAAGCCCGTGACAAAACGTTCAGTCTTAAAAGGCCAAATATTTTTTGTTTTGGTTTGCGACTGGTTTGTTGCTTTCTAACATTTGCCTAAGACATTATCCACTCAAGTGGCCAGCATCTATGCACTTTTTGGGACAAAAGAAGGCATTTCCATTAGAAAAGACTTAAACTCCCATAGGATTTTGTTTGGAATAACAACATGGCCGCTTTTACATTGTTTTGGACCACCACTATGGCCACCGTGACGTCAGGTGAAAAAGGTTAATTGTGAGGTTGAGTAAGTGACTGGGGCGGTATTGCATTTTGGGTCTTTCTTGGGGGATGTGTGGGGAGGAAGACTCGGCTAGTGTCACGAAGGTCCTAGAAGGCACTTATCCTAGCGCCATATGTTTTCTGTATTCAGTTTACATTCAAAGGCTTGCACTTCTCCATACTGTTTGGTTCCTCTTAGTACTAGGATCTTCCTAGCTGAGAGGTAGGAAGATCCTAGCACCATGTCATCTAAGACGATCCTTGTACTGGGGACAAACCAGAGATGAGTACTCACGGCAATAAAGGCCGACCATTTTGTTTGGTGTTGCCACGAGCTGATTGTTGTGCTAATTCTGCTGAAAGGTAGTGATTAACGCCGGTAAAGAGAGAAGAAGGGCCAAAATTACATTTTTGTTTCTATCGCCCGCCATCTTTGATTCCTTCTCTACTTTGGCACCACACGGAACGTAACTGTTTCTGCATTTAAACCCAACGAAAAGTTGTTCCGCCTTCTAGGATCTTCCTCTCTCCATGTAAACAGCCCCTTAGTTCCTTCGCAATAGCCGTTAAAAGAAAGCGATGGTACCCCCAGCAAGTCTCACGCTTAACTGAAACTAGACAATCCACTAAAAAAGTTTTCTATGTTTTCAGGTTGCAAAAAGAGAAAGGCCTTGCTCCTATCGTGTATGTCCAGAGCGACTGCTACACTCCGTCAGATCGAGAGAGGTACGTGAAAGAGTTAATGCAGTACATTGATATTGATTCATACGGACAGTGTCTTAACAACCGTAAAATGCCAGACGACATTAATGGCTTTCTCAAGCTTCATAGTTCAGAGTATTACAAGTTCCTTGCGCAGTATAAATTCAACATTGCCTTCGAGAATGCCGTGTGTAACGATTATATGACTGAAAAATTATTTCGACCATTCGAAGTTGGAGCTGTGCCCATTGTTATGGGCTCACCGGCGGCAAAGGACTGGATGCCTAATGAGAAATCTGCAGTCTTTGTGAACGATTTTAAGCACGCCAAAGACCTTGCGGATTTTGTAAAATACCTTAATGCTAACGATGATGAGTATGCGCAGTATATGAGATACAAAGACCCTAAACATATAACAAACGAGTTTCTTCTCAAGATGGTGGACGAAAGACCGTGGCGTGTACTAGGAGAATGGGACAAAATTAACTTCGGTCACCGCATGTATGCTAATTTTGAGTGTCACGTGTGCGACCGCGTGATTGAGCGCCAAGAAGCACTGCGGGCTCATAAGTTGGCCCCAGAGAAAAATCCACCCCCTCCCCCTAGAATGGCGAAGAGAGATCACCTGGAATGTCCCGAGCCAACTATTTCTTTAGCTACAAAGGAGAGGGTGAACAAGAGTGTGAATTACTGGGAAGGATTTTATGAGGCTCGTGCATTGAAAACGATGCTGTTAGCGGGGGAAACAAATGCCACTAAATTTCAATCTAAATACTTGAAACGATTGACGGACAAGTATGATAAATGGGTACGGTAATTTCGAGTAAGTTTCAAATCAGTGAGATAGACTTGAATCTTGAAGGAAGTGTAAAGCCTCAAGGCGGTGAGACCACGATAGGAAATTAGATGCAGAAAGAAAACAATAAACTTCAAATAACAATGCAGGTGACTGAAACGAAGAGGTAAAGTTCCAAGGCAGAAAAACACAACACAATCAAAAATTGGTATATAGCTAGTCTGGTGTAAACAATTGATTTCTATGTTGGTAAATATTAAAACGATATCTTACATTAAACTGACCCAATTGAATCATTCACTGAAAATCTGAAATGCTTACTAAGTGGGTGGAATTGTTTTCAACTATTTGAAAGTCGGTCAGTGTCATCATACCTCATATGCTATTTTCATCACGACGTTATGATAAATACACACCACGGAGGGATAGCTACTAGTAACCTCCTCTTTAAAGAAGCTACAGTTGTACTTCTCCACAACGGCCACCTTGGGGACCGGAAAAAGTGGATGTTGTGAAGAGGTGGCCGTTATGGGGAAAATGCCAATTTTTCGACTATGTGAAAAACTTACTTTTATAGTCTAGAAAGCTTTCTTTTCCATCTAGAACATCATCAAGCATAGACTGCAAAACAGTCCGTATTTTTGCGTATTCAAGTACGCGCGAGCAGTCAAACAAAAGCTCTTGGCGTGTGAGGCTCGCGCACGTACGACTCTTACGCCACGCTTTACCAATTTCTTTTCTGATTTTGAGAAAAAACCGACTGTTTTGCGGTCTACATCAAGCAATATATCTAGAACTATTTAATAAAAAAGAACCTTTTTTAACAAAATCATGGGTTAACCCCTTTGCAAAAATGCCAATTTTTCAACTATGTGAAAAATTTAATTTTATAGTCTATAAAGCTTTCTTTTCTATCTAGAACATCATCAAGCAATCTATCTAGGCCTATTGTAAAGAAAAAGAACCTTGAAAGATATTTCAAATTTTTGACCAAAATCATGAGTATAATACCTTTGCAAAAATGTCAATTTTTCGACTATATGGAAAAGTTACTTTCATAGCCTAGAAAACTTTCTTTCCTACCTAGAACATCATCAAACAATATATCTAGGCGTATTTCCAAGAAAAGAACCTTGAAAGATATTTCAAATTTTTCACCCCAAAAAATGCAAAAATGCCAATTTTTTGTGTTTGTTAAAAAGTTATTTTTATAGTCTTGAAAGGTTTGTTTTCTATCTACAACGTCATCAAGCAAATATATCTAGGACTGTTTTGAGGAAAAACAACCTTGGAAAAAATTTCAAATTTTTGACCAAAATCATGGGTTAATCCCTTTGCAAAATTTCCCATTTTTTCACTACTTTTTTAGTCTAGAGAACTGTATTTTTTATCTAGAACATTATCAAGCAATAGATCTAAGACTGTTTTCAAGAAAAACAAACTTTGTGTTTGACGATGTTCTTGATAGAAAGAAGCCTTTCTAGATTATGAAAACATCGACTAAAAAAGTCGAAAATTTGGGATTTTTGCAAAGGGGTTAGTCTATGGTTTTCCTCAAAAATCTGAAATTTTTTCCATCTTTTTATTTTTGACAAACAAGGCGAAGAAAATTTGTTTGAAGATATTTTAGAAAAAAAAGCCTTTCTAGACTATAAAAACATTGACTTAAAAAAGTCAAAAAATTGGTATTTTTCCATGGTTTCGGACAAAAATTTGAAATTTTTCGATCTTCTACTTTTCATCAAAGTGGGGCAAGAAAATGTCTTTGACGATCTTCGTTAAAGAAGAAACAACGTTGCTAGAGTACACAGCCAAGGACCAGAAAATGTGTTTGAGGATATTCTTGAAAGAAAAAGCCTTTCTAGACTATAAAAACATCGACTGAAAAATTCGAAAATTTGATATTTTTCCAAAGGGGTTTGGTCCATGGTTTTGGTCAAAAATTTGAAAAATTTTAGAAAGAAAAAGCCTTTCTAAACTAAGAAAACATCGACTTAAAAAAGTCAAAAAAAGGTTTTTTTTTCCAAAGGGACTAGTCCATGATTTCGGACAAAAATTTAAACTTTTTCGATCTCCTTATCGTCGCCAAAGTAGGGCAAGAAAATGTGTTTCACGATGTTCCTTAAAGAAGAAACAACCTTTTTAGAGTATATAGGACCAGTAAATGTGTTTGAGGATATTCTTTAACAAAAAAAGCCTTTCTAGACTATGAAAACATCGACGAAAAAATTCGAAAATTTGACATTTTTGGTATTTTTGGTCCAAAATTTAAAAAATTTTTCATGTTTTTATTTTTTGGCAAAGACGGCCAAGAAAATGTGTTTGACGATGTTTTAGAAAGAAAACATTATGAAAACATCGACTTACAAAAGTCCCAAAATATTTTTTTTCAAAGGGATTAGTCCATGGTTTCGGTCAAAAATTGGCAATTTTTCGATCTTTTTATTTCAGGCAAGAAAGGCAAGGCAAATGTATTTTATGATATTTTAGAAAGAAAAACGCTTTTCTAGACTATAAAAACAAGTTAAAAAGGTCGAAGAATTAGGGTTTTTCCATGGTTTCGGTCAAAAACTAGCAACTTTTCCTCCCTTTTATTTTGAGCAAAATAGGCCGGGAATGTGTGTTTCACGAGATTCTAAAAAGAAAAAACGCCTTTCTAGAGTGTAAAAGCAAGAAGTTCAAAGAAAACTTGGCATTTTTCCAAAGGGTACATGGATGTGCTTCAAAATTGGCATTTTTTCCATCGTTTTATTTGAAGCAAAATAGGCCGGAAAAATGTGTTTCACGATATTCTAGAAAGAAAAAACGCCTTTCTGGAATATTATAAAAAGAAGTTCAAAAAGAGATATGTGGTTCCCAGGTAGAAAAACACATATCAATAATGATAGTCCAGCCATATGGTGTAAAAAAATAGCTGAATTGTGCACTTTGGGGTAAAAGCATCAAACTCGGCACAGTGATAGTACTAGTTGCACTAATTATTTTTAGCTATGGACCCCACATAAATATGCACGGGGGGAGGCACATTGTGCCCTTGGGGGGAGGGGTCATGGCCTTTTTGTTGTGGTCCGGAAAAGACTCAAAGACGGGAAGAAAGCGGCCTAAAAAACTTTTGCATTCCCATTTTCTTCAAAGCAGTGCAAGGTAACCCTATAAAATACCTGTTACTTACTTTTCTGAGAAATTTTCTAAAATTATTTTTAAAGAGTGTGTAAGTGATTCTTGTCACAAGCGAAAGCCACGTAGAAGCAAGTTGAGTTCTGAAGGGCAGAATTAATTTGATTTAAAGCATTACAATATTATACATGCACCTCCTGACACATCAAAACACTTTAATAATATTTTTGAGACACCTCCTGATGGAACAAACAAGACTGCACACGGAAGAAACAAAAGATCAGGCTACTCAAGGAAATTCTGCATGGCAGCCAGGAATGGCTAATCTTTTTGCTCTCTCGTTTGTGAGAGACAGTATGCCGTTTTTCACCCTGGGAAGGATAAGATGTTTCATTTTTACTCTTTGATTGAAGTGAATTGCACTTTTTGGGAATTTAATTGCTCAGCCAAACTACCAACTGTTGTATAACAGTCATATAACTGTTATAAACCGTTGTATAAGAGTCATATAAGTATATAACACCTGATCTGGTCTGTTATATAACACACGATATGTTAGGTTATATAACACATTGATCTGATCTGTTGTTATATAACACATGATGTGTTATGTTATATAACACCTGATCTGATCTGTTATATAACACATGATATGTTATGTTATATAACACATGATCTGATCTGTTGTTATATAACACATGATCTGATCTGTTATATAACACACCATCTGATCTGTTATATAACACATGATATGTTGTGTTATTTAAGGTCTCGGTAAATGAAAATTTTAGTACATTGCTCGATTTTGTTTTTTTTGGATTTTTGGCATGAGTGGGTCCTAAATTTTATTTTGGCAGAAAAAGAAAATCAGAAAGTGCTTTTTAACCCCTCTAAAATGAGCCTTTTCTGAGCTAACCAGCCAAGCGTGGACTTCGCGCTAAATCTTTAGAGCTGATTTTCTCTCACTCTATTTTAGACGCAAAAATCAAAATTCTCCGACCTCCAGTCGGGACCGGTTTTAAGCTATCGCTTTGAAACTTTCAGATATGATGGATAATGATATAGACTCAAAAAGGGTGTGAGGAATTTTCCGATTTTCCTTGTGTTATATAACACACGATCTGATCTGTTATATAACACATGATATGTTATGTAACACACGATAATTATGTTATGTTATATAACACATGATCTGATCTGTTATATAACACCTGATCTGATCTGTTTTATAACACACGATCTGATCTTTTATAGCACGTGATCTGATTTGTTGTTATATAACACATGATCTGATCTGTTATATAACACATGATATGTTATGTTATTTAACACATGATGTGATATGTTATGTAACACATCATATGGTATGTTATATAACACATGATCTGATCTGTTATATAACACATGATATGTTATGTTACATCACACATGATCTGATCTGTTGTTATATAACACATGATATGTTATGTTATATAACACATGATTCTGATCTGTTATATAACACCTGATCTCTGATCTGTTATATAACACATCATCTGATCTGTTATATAACACATGATATCTTATGTTATATAACACATGATCTGTTATATAACACACCATCCGATAACACATGATCTGATCTGTTATATGACACATGATATGTTATGTTATATAACACATGATGTTATTTAACACACCATCCGATCTGTTATATAACACATGATCTGATGTGTTATATAATCTGATTATATAACACATGATCTCATCTGTTATATAACACACGATCTGATCTGTTATATAACACATGATATGTTATGTAACACACGATATGTTATGTTATATAACACATGATCTGATCTGTTATATAACACATGATATGTTATGTTATATAACACCTGATCTAATCTGTTATATAACACACGATCTGATCTGTTATATAACACATGATCTGATCTGTTATATAACACATGATCTGCTCTGTTATATAACACATGATATGTTATGTTATATAACACATGATGTTATTTAACACACCATCCGATCTGTTATATAACACATGATCTGATGTGTTATATAACACACGATCTGATCTGTTATATAACACATGATATGTTATGTAACACACGAAATGTTATGTTATATAACACACCATCTGATCTGTTATATAACACATGATCTGATCTGTTATATAACACATGATATGTTATGTTATATAACACATGATCTGATCTGTTATATAACACATGATCTAATCTGTTATATAACACATGATATGTTATGTTATATAACACATGATCTAATCTGTTATATAACACATGATCTGATCTGTTATATAACACATGATCTGATCTGTTATATAACACATGATCTGATCTGTTATATAACACATGATATGTTATGTTATATAACACATGATGTTATTTAACACACCATCCGATCTGTTATATAACACATGATCCGATGTGTTATATAACACATGATCTCATCTGTTATATAACACACGATCTGATCTGTTATATAACACATGATATGTTATGTAACACACGATATGTTATGTTATATAACACATGATCTGATCTGTTATATAACACCTGATCTGATCTGTTTTATAACACACGATCTGATCTTTTATAGCACATGATCTGATTTGTTGTTATATAACACATGATCTGATCTGTTATATATAACAGTTATATGACAGTCATATAACTTTTATATAACAGTTATATAACTGTTATGACAGTTATAACAGTTATATAACTGTCATATGTAACTGTTATATAACAGTTATATAACTGTCATATATAACTGTTTTGTAACAGTTATATGACAGTCATATAACTGTTATATAACAGTTATATATGACAGTTATATAACTGTCATTTGTTACTGTTTTAGAACAGTTATATATGACACCACCACCATCTCCACTACCATGGAGATGAAGAATAAGTTCAGAGGAGAAACTAATTGCTAAATGATTTAAAATTATCCCAGAATTCAGGAAAGGTCATTGTATTCTTCCTCACAACATAAGCTAATACAAACATGCAAACAGAGATACTCCTACCCCTCCCCCTAAGCTGTGTTGAAACCTTCCCCCCCACGCCACCTAGAAAATTTGATTTAATAGACCTTGTTAAACTTTCCTAGGACACCATTCCCTATTGATATAGCAGCTTTCTTTTCAATAACGGCAGTTAAATTGGAAACTGCAACCACCCCACCCCCCTGAGTACAAAATGTCCCTCCTGACTGGGGTACATAGCTAATATTGTTCAGCAGCCCAAGTACTATTACCATGCCAAATTTGGTGCTTTTAACCCAGAGTGCACAATTTTTTCACCATATGGCTTGACTATGATATGTGTTTGCCGGGTAGGGGAACACGTATCACTAGTGGTGTGTGTTTCAAGGCCAGAGGAACACATATCAGTGGTGATATGTGTTTCCTTTGTAGGTGAACAAATATCACTAGTAGTATGTGTTTTCAGGCTAGAGGAACACATCTCTCTAGTGACAGCGATCTGTGTTTTCGGGGTAGGGGAACACATAGCACTAGGAAGATGTGGTTCCCGGGCCGGGGAACACATATTACTAAGGATATGCCATAAAAATAAGATATTCAAAAGGTCGAAAAATTTCGATTTTTTCAAAAGGGTTAGTCCATGGTTTTCGTCAAAAATAGGCCTTTTTTCCACGTTTTTTTAGGCAATATAGGCCAAACAAATGTGTTTTACGATATTCTAGAAAGAAAAGACGTCTTTCCAGGCTATAAAAAGTTACAACAGTCGAAAAATTGAGATTTTTCCAAAAGGGTTAGTCCATGGTTTTGGTCAAAAATTGGACTTTTTTCCCACGTTTTTTTAGGCAATATAGGCCAAACAAATGTGTTTTACGATATTCTAGAAAGAAAAAACGTCCTTCCAGGCTTATAAAAAGTTACAAGAGTCGAAAAATTGAGATTTTTCCAAAGGGGTTAGTCCATGGTTTCGGTCAAAAATTGGCCATGTTTTCCATCTTTTTATTTTCGGCAATACAGGGCAGGAAAATTTGTTTGACGATATTCTAGAAAGAAAAAACGCCTTTCTAGGCTATAAAAACAAGAAGTTCAAAAAGTCGAAAAATTGACATTTTTCCAAAGGGGTTAACCCATGGTTTTGGTCCAAAAGTGGTCATTTTTCCAACTTTTTTTTTTTAGGCAATATAGGCTGCAAAAATGTCTTTTACGATATTCTAGAAAGAAAAATTGCCTTTCTAGGCAATAAAAACAAGAAGTTCAAAAAGTCGAAAAATTGACATTTTTCCAAAGGGGTTAACCCATGGTTTTGGTCCAAAAGTGGTCATTTTTCCAACTTTTTTTTTTTTAGGCAATATAGGCTGCAAAAATGTCTTTTACGATATTCTAGAAAGAAAAATTGCCTTTCTAGGCTATAAAAACAAGAAGTTGAAAAAGTCGAAGAATTGAGATTTTTCCAAAGGGGTTAGTCCATTTTGGTGAAAAATTGGCCAGTTTTTCCATCTTTTTATTTTAGGCAATACAGAGCAGGAGAATGTGTTTTCCGATATTGTAGAAAGAAAAAACGCCTGTCTAGGCTATTAAAACAAGAAGTTGGAAAAGCCGAGAAATTGAGATTTTTGCAAAAATCCCCAATTTTAATTGGTTGAGGTTATGGGCTGCTGTTGAAGATCAGTGGGGAGATCTCTTCTTATGATGGAGATAGCGCCCTTTTTGTTAAGCTGTTTGAGATCTATGCTATTACCAATGATAGCTACACCTTGAACAAAAACCTACGGGTAGCGGTCATCCCTGCTTGGTCTGCGCCCATATACCCCGTGTCAGGACAAGTTAAAGGGAACCTCCACTCTTACTACAGAATAAGTTTAAATCGAATAAAATTATGTTGATAAACAAATTTGTTCGAAATTTGTCTTAAAAAAAGTGTTTATATCAGGAAAAGTGAATTTTAAAATCGCTTATTTTCACTTTCAAATTTCGCGGGCGCCGCCATCTTGAATAATTGTGACGTGTTACGGTTGCTCTATTGTTCTGACACAAAGAGCTTTTGTTTAATAACAATAGGGCAACCATTACACGTCACAATTATTCAAGATGGCGACGCCCGCAAAATTTGGAAACAAAAATAGGCGAATTTAAAAGTTATTTCTTTCGGATACAAACGCCTTCTTTAAAAATATTTTAGATTGACTTGACTGTAACAGTTATTTCCTGTGATTTAAAGTTATCTTTTTGTTGAAGTGGAGGTTCCCTTTAAATACGAACTTCGGCCTCGTTCGCGGACAAAGTATGTCTTTGAATACAAAGAAGACTGTATAGGTAACTGCGGCTCGAAGACAAACCCATATCTCGTGTGCTTTTCCGGACCTAAGGACATTTGTGTTCAAAGCAGGGGGAGCTTAGCGATGACTTATGTGCTTACCCCTCCATCTACAGTGCTTGGATTATGCAACTTGTCCAAAAAATCGGCCACGCCCCTAGACCTGCTCCAGAAACGAAACCGTTTCTCGAAGCTACAATAGGTTTCAACTGTTCAGAAAGGGAAAAGATTCCAGCGTCACGGGTCCATTCAGGGAAGAAAGCGCTCTTTGAAAAAGCTAGAAAAGGCAAAAAAGCATAGCCACTATGTGTATAAGGACTCGCAGATCTCTTCCGTGTCCAGTAGGAAAATATCTCAATAAGGAGACAGGGCTATTCGCAGCTTGTGTAAACTCCAAACCGCAGCGTTTTGGATATTATTGCGAAAAGGAACCATTTAAGGAAACGGCTTTGAAAGTTTTGAAAGAAATGCGTGAGGTTTTGGAGTGGATTGACCAAAATAAGGGCTAGATATACGGTATCATGTAACCCAATAAAAAATACATATTTCAAGTGGAGGCCTCCATTACTAAGAGTGATTTTCAAGAGGCTCCTCTATATTAAATCGTGTATCAGTTTAACTATGGCTAAGGCAAATAAATAAATGAAATACAACAGAACAGCCAAAAAATGTGTGCTTACTTGCTTCCACTTACTTTGAGATCACGACATCTGTATTTAATTATGTAAAATATATTTTATGATTTATATCATGCTTGTTATAAAGAACTTCCCATGTGTTACTTCTCAATGCTCTCGGGGGTAGAGGCGAGGGTGGGCAATCTCGTCCTAGGCCCTTTCCCTTTTATTTAAAAGCCCTGGGGACGAGGTAGAGGTAAAATTTCCCTGTAAGACAATTCGCCATTTGCACATCTCCCATAATACACCTTCTTTGACTTTCAAAACTTTGCATAACCTTCGTTTTTTATTTCTCGTGGGTATTACAGTCGTCCCAACAGAAATTAAAGACGTATGCAAAATTTGGGGGAGAGAAGGGGGGCAAACAAGGTGTATTATGGGATATGTAAAACTGGCGAATTACAAGGAAAACTTGGTGACGTGTTATTTCGCATGGTTTAAATTGACGTTCGCGGAAAACAAGACTCGCAATTTCTCTATTGTTTTGCGTAGTGATCTGTAGTAATATGTAGTGATGTGTAGTGATGGGCAGTGATGTGTAGTGATGGGTAGTGATGTGTTTTGATGGGTAGTGATGCATAGTTATGTTGAGTGACACATAGTTACATTTTAGTTGGATTTTTTTGTATTGGTGTAGGGTGTTGGAGGACACGGATTTATTACCAGCTCACTAGAACCCATTCTCTTAGGGGAGTGGATATGATCGCCTGTTCTTTATTGCATCTTTGGTTGTCCTCTGTCACACTGGCGGTCTTTATTGTGGAAGATTTCTTTTAAAAATATCACACAGATTGGACAGGGGGATTTACTCAGCACTGGATGCCGAGCTATATCATCTTTTATTGCAGTGGCTGCAAATGTCCCGATATGTCTCTTGGACAAGTTATATTCCAAATTCTTCTAACCGTTTTCTTGTATCCAATTAGCGAGGTATCACTTTCGAAAACCTTTCAGATGTCGCAGCAGAAAACTACATGTACGGTATGGAGAAGTACATTCTCTTGTTCATTTGTTCTCTATTATTACTCGTTTCCGTGGGAAGTAAAGGTAAAGGAGAATTACCAATTGTCGTACTTGATTTTCCACTGGATTTTAATTTTGCTGGAACGGAGTTTGACATAGAACTCTCATTCCGAACCAAAAGTAAACGACGATTGTCTCTTGAAGTCAGTTCAACAGGAACACAAAGTAAAAAGTTTAGAGAATTCAAGTACGATGCTATCGTCGCTCATCGCACCAAAGTAACACAGAAATTAAAAGTTACAGTTCTCATGCGAGACTCGCTGGCGTATCTCGAGAACAAAATTATTGATGTGCAGCCAGACCTTTACACAGATGAAATTCAAGTTACTGGTTTGTTGCTTGATGATTTTCGTGGTGGATTATATTCAAAGACTGTATTAGCTGGAGACTTTCTACGACTGCCATTGGTTCCGCCATGGAGTAGGCCAAAAAAACCCGGATTCAGTTTCTTGTGGCCTTGGGAACAGTTATTGAAAATCAATCAGCCAAAGGTTGAGAAGTGTCAGAATCTCAGAGGTGAGTTTGAAGCAACCTATAGTCAACTCTTAAAAAATTGTTGCAGGTGTAGTAAAGTTAAAGAATTCATGACACTTTGTACAATGAATCGTGACTTGTTAATCTTGAATGAACAATAGATCAGTTACTAGCTTGATAGGAACCGGAAACACGATCCCTATTGTGTAAGCAAGCATGCAAAAATGTGCATCGTGTAAAGTAGATAGTTAGATGTGCCTTCCGATCGGAATAGCGTAAAAGCTACAAGCTACACCCTTTAAACTGATAGGATTTTGTGTAGGATGGAATGATTACTTAAACCTAGCCGCTCAGGATTTATGTAAGTAATGTAGGTGTAATAGTGTTTTAAGCTTTCAATCGAATTAGGGTGTTTACTACAAAGGAAACCACATGCATTCCCTACTATATTTTCCCACGTATGATTTAGCTACCAATATGTATAAAAGTACCTTGATTTAGCAATAAACAATGAATGTGAATGTGATCAAGACTTGAGTGTGTTCAAGTCTCTTAGAATATTGATAGCCCGAAACCGGCCAGGTCGAGAGATACTCAAGCAGTCGACACTTCTCTGTTGGCCACGAAATCAACTCCTGTTTACAACACAGGGTTGGCCAAATTATCAATACCCCTACAACCTGACATTGTTGTGGCTCATGGACTAAAAACAGATCTCAGATTTCTGTAATTTACCTAACCTGGTAGTAAATATATTTTGGTTCCTTTTCAGACATTGTTGACCTGATAACATTTCCTGTGGCTTTGACTGGTAAAGAAACTGGAGTAAAAAGGTAACTTTGACAGTCTTGAATCCTAGGCTGTTATTATTAAATGCAGGGGTTTCAATAAAAGTCATCCTCTAACAAAATAATTGACTAAGACAAGCGAGAAGTGGCCCTTTGCAAGCAAAATGTGAGAGTTGCTTCTCCCAATTACAGGGCTTCTGGTATTTCGCGCGGTCGCGGACCCGCGAAATTCAGCTATTTTCGCGAAATCCCGCGAAATTCCCCAACAAAAAGCTAAATACCGCGAAATCCGCCAGAAATATTTCCAAATACATGTCGGCAAAACATATTTAATACTTGTCTTGGCTATTTGACCTGTTCTATTCACCCCAAACGTCCAAATTTATCTTGAACTTCGTCACTGCAACGAGTAAACAACGTCCCAAAACTACCAGGCGTCTTAGATGAACGTTGCGAAAAACTGGGCACTAACCATAATGTTAACGGCTTTAGCATTCGCTCATTTCTCGAGCGAACTGTTGTTGAAGGAGCAAATGATTATCTCTGTTAAAAAAAACGTTAAACAACGCTGGTCATATCGGCGCAAAATTGATCGATATTAGCGAAATTTGCCAAAAAAAAATCCAGCGAAATCGGCAGTTTTTTACTGATTGTTTCTTGGCGAAGTTTCCCGCTGAAATTTCCCGTGAAATCGGCCGATTTTTCTAAGAATTTGCCCCCTGAAAATCCTTTGAAATTTGACTTTTTTCTCTAAAATCCCGCGAAATCGGCCGATTTTTCTGTGAATTTTGACTTTTCTCCCGCGAAAATCCCGCAAAATCGGCCAATTTTCCCCAAATTTTGACTTTTTTCCCGCGAAAATCCCGCGAAATCGGTCGATTTTTCCGCGAATTTGCCCCTGAAAATCCCGCGAAATTTTGCTTTCTTTTCCGCGAAATATCAGAAGCCCTGCCCAAAGCATGCTGAATCAATTTTTTTTGCAAGCGTGGTAGATTCATAACATTTGTAAAAGAAACAAGAACAACAAGGACTGAAAGTTATAACTACCAGCTTTCAGCAGTATAAGCTGTAATGTTACCCCTGGACAGTAACACGTATATTTAGCAATTAATGAATGAGGCTGAGTAGGATATGAAGAATTAAGCAGATCGATCAAAATAATTCCTAGTTTGAAAACATAGCTAAAACATGCTTACCTGCATCGATGTTAAGTTCATCTTCGATAGTGTACATTTAGGTTTGTCCAGCTCCACAAGTATTCTCCAACTAGCAGATGTCACTCTCCGAGTTGTCTTCTTGCTGTTTTTTCCATGTTTTTAGCTATTATTTCGCCTAGTTCCAGCTGTGGTTCTTACTCTAGAAACGGGTGAAATGTCCGCCATTTTTTTGTCACGACCAAAACAACTCAACCTCATCCCCAGGTCTTCTCGGTAACAACGTTAACAACATCAACATTTATTTTTGGGAAAGCTACCAGTAACCATCAAAAGTACTTCATATACTTTCCTTTAATTATCCTCTCAGGTTGAGGCTAGTGAGAAGCCAAATGACAGAAGATGCGCTATGCCACAGAAGTATGCAATTCTACGATGATATTATGAAATTCATTGACGTCACTAAACAATTTAAATATTCATGAGAAATAATAACATATTATTATTATCAACCCTCCAAGTTGTGACTGTTTTAGTCGCCATGGCGCCTAAAATTTTGAAGCTGGTGACTTGATTTGTAAAAACGTCTCCCCCAAACCAAAAGAATTGGTCGCCAAATGGTGGCCAAGCAAGAACTTTAACTTGGAGGTTGTATTATCATATATGACTTTAGTGTGCAAAGAAAGTAGTATCCGATAGCCTGGGGCTAGTGGATTTTGCTATCAGGCTAGTGAATTTTGAAGTTAACTTTCCCGACGGGCAAGTGAAGTTTTTTGAGGAATTCATATTAAAGAAGAACTGTGAAATCAATTCTGCTCATCAAAAAGTTTTTTGGGCTAGTTGAAATGACGTTTGGGCTGAAACAAGAGTCGTGACCTTATCTATCAAATGTGACTCCCTCGCCTTACGGGCTGAGTCACGTGAAGAATGAATTTTCTCCTGTGGAATTTCGCGAATTCGCCACTTTAGAAACGAGAGGGAAACTGGACCGAGTTTACTTTCGCAAAGACTTCTGGGACTGTTACTAGGGTGCGTCCCTAGTAACGATCACAGACAAATTTCGGCTCCAGTCCCCGTCTAGTTTGTAAAGTGGCGAATGGCCATTTATTCTATGATGATAGTGTCACATAAGTTCCGGTCATCAAGTGACGTAATAACAATGAACAAAAAGACACTGAACGTAAACTTGCCCTGCATTTCTCGAGGCTGGTTAAGAAATTCGTGCAGAAAGATTAAACGATTTTACTTGAAATTGAGGAGAAGGCTAAGGTACAAATTGCAGGCAAAAAAAATCAATTCTCCTGAGATTACGTCACAGACAAGTTGTCCGAGTTCCATTTTTACATCTCTCATAATACACCTTGTTTGCCCCCAAAATTTTGCATAAGCATTGTCTTTAATTCTCTTGGGACGACTGTAATACCCAGGAGAAATCGAAAACAAACGTTATGCAAATTAATGATAATGATAATGATAATGAATTTGTATAGCGCTAAAACTATAGGTGAATATTCAAAAGCGCTTTACATTAAGTTAAAATTAATGAAGAAACAATAAATAAAAAATTAATGAAGAAATAATAAATAAAAAAAATTGGGGAGTGGAGGGGCAAACAAGATGTGCAAATGGTGAATAGGCTCTTCATTCACGTGGTAGAAGACCGCCTCGCGGGATAGCAAGAGACTCATTGGGACAAGATTGTTTGTCTTGTCCTAGTGCGACTTTTGCTCTCCAGCATGGCGGTTTTTTACCACGTGAATGACCAGCTGCAAAGGTCCCATAGGATATCGCTCAACATTAAACAAAGAAGGAAACCCTGGAATCTTACCAGTTTCTTAGTCAAATAATTTTTTTCCAAACTGTTTCCTGTAGGACGGTTCCACCTTAGCTGCAAGTCAGCGAGCTTATCATCCGGACGAGTTCTGCAAATCTGAAACACTCAAGATCGGTATCCTTTAAATATATTACCGTTATTAAGAACAAAACCGAAAAAGACACAGGCTCCTTTTATTTAGCATTGAGAAAACAGCCGACGTTTCGCGACGCCACCACTGTTTTTCGCGCAAAATGACGTCAGAAGAAACGCGAGCGGAAATTCCATACTGATGACGTGTTACTACCCAGATCTAGCTTCTGATTGGATGAAGTAAATTTCCAACCAATCAGAAGCAGTACCCACATCTGGTTAGCAACGTGTCAAAAGCATGAAATCTCTGCGTTCGTCCCAGAGACTTCATTGGTGGCATCACGAAATGTCTGCTGTTTTCTCAGGCTACGATGGGTGCTTAAAGACGAAGGTCGGCTCTACCCTGGATATTCTATTGTTATTTACGACATGATAATAAAGTGTGGGAATAAATCTAAAACTGGGCGAAAGCAACTCGGGCAGGATCAATTCCGACCTATTCGTTGGGTGGGAGGGTGGACAAAGGGTCTCTTGACTTCCGCGGCCTCGAAAACAGTGTTGGATTGAAACACTGGTAGCTTCTTTATGCATTATTCCCAGGGTACAATTACCAATGCAAGTCGGTTGTTTTACACTCCTTGACGCATTTAAATCCTAGATGTGAAATACTATCTCGCTAATCAGGTTCACCCGGTTGTAGCTCGTTTGTGCGATCCCATCGACGGCACCGATGCAGCTCATATTGCCCAGTGTTTAGGTAAGTGAATGGGCGATTTAACTCCACGGCTAGAAAACTGCTTGCAATGCATCTAAACAAAATGTGTCTACTGATTAAGTCTGTTTAAAGTATTAACTCCTTTAGTGTTTTCTTGTATATTGCAACAACGAAATGACCTGATATCACAGTTTTATTCTCCCTAGAAGCCTCGGCTAGCTCTTTCTTTAGGGTAAAAACTCAAAGGCGGTCTATCAATATTTGTGGCCTCTGGCACGGACAATTTGCCTCTACTCCTACACCGGAAGCAGTTTTTCTTAAGTTCTCTACTTGCTATCTATCGTCTCATTGGTTCAGAGCGTACAGTTAATTTTGGAAGTCAGCGCAACCTTCAAATCTGTTGGTTGCGAGCTCAATGCGTGATTTCCAAGAGCAATGTCAATTTGTGTTCCGCGCGACGGTTCGTTTGTCGTTATTTTCTTTTTTTTCTCACCATTCAAACGGCTGCACTAAATTTTGTTGTTGTTGGTTTTTCTTTTCAACGATCAGCATCGTTATACGACAACCCTGTAAAGACGACAAGATTTCCGTGACCGTAGTCGAATTAACGGGTTATTTACTGTTCATTGAGATTCCCGTGAAACTGAATGTTTAAAAAGTTTATCACCCTTTTTTTTTTCGCTGCGCAGGCCTGGATCCTTCTGGTTATCGTGGCAACTCTGCCCTTCATGATGATGAAAATGACGCGTTACTTGGTGGCCAGGCTCAGATGACAGACGAGGAAAGGTTTAAGGTCGGTTTAACTGTGAACACTTTCCCCCCCAGAGATGATCAAAATCAAAATTTTACAAAATTTCTCAATTTGATTTTGTTAAATGATGAAAACAAGATAGCAGCATATGAGAATACTGAAGAGGTTTCATTTGAATAGTAACACCATAGGATTTTGTCTACAGATTCAAATCATCATCAGCATCATACATCATCACCTTTATTTATCCTCAGTTTTTTCAATGTAGCTCTTAAAGCTAATATCTCCGAGATATAAGGAAATAAATATTTAATTAAAGTAATCGTTAGCCTAAAATAAATAATGAAATAAAATACAATAAATGAAAGGAAGTTAGAAGTTAGAACTACATACTAAATAAATGGTACCATGTGAAATTACTGCTGAAGAGGTTTCATTTGAATGGTAATACCATGGGATTTCATCCACAGACTCAAAAGTTAGAACTACATACTAAATAAATAGTACCATGTGAAAGTATTGCTGAAGAGATTTCATTTTGAATTGTACCACCATAGGATTTCATCCACAGACTCAAAAGTTAGAACTACATACTAAGTGAATATTACCGTGGGAAAGTACTGCTGAAGAGGTTTCATTTGAATGGTAATACCATGGGATTTCATCCACACACTCAAAAGCTAGAACTACATACTAAATATATAGTACCATGTGAAAGTACTGGTGAAGAGGTTTGATTTGAATGGTAACACCATAGGATTTTGTCCACAGACTCAAAAGTTAGAACTACATGCTAAATAAATAGTACCATGTGAAAGTACCGCTGAAGAGATTTCATTTGAATGGTAACACCATAGGATTTTATCAACTGACTCAAAAGTTGTAACCGCCTCCGTCTCGATCACTCAATCTAGGAATTAAGGCGAAACAAATGTTCTGGAAATGGAGGTTAAATAACACTGAGACGTTTCATTTTAACGGAAAGTGGATTGTGTCTATGACAATCGGCATGTTCTAAAATCCACAAGACCGGAACACAAAATTTGAGGGCGGGGGTAATTAAGGTGCATCATGGTCTTTGTGAAAATGGTGAATAGGTAAAAACACAAATAGAAACCCTAACCCTAATCTGTACCTTACTTGTTTCTCAAGGATTGTGAGCGATTTATAGTCAAGTGTAAACGCTCCAGCTGTGGTCAAGAGACGACCCTTGAACTCCTCTTTAAAGGCGCCGTAAGTACACTTTTAACAGTTAATGTTCATTTACAGTTTAACATCAAATGATATTATTTCCTTCAGTCATGGAGCTTATAATTTACACTATTCAGGGGTATAAAGTTAAGCACATTCAATGCATGAGTCATGGCTGAACAGGGATCTGTAGATTAAAGTCAAATCCGCAATTTTCCATTTTCGAAAACCAGCATTGTCGATCCCAAGCCTTTAGCAGAGGTAGATGTAGTTTATGCTTTGGTAAGGATTACCAGTAGGGAAAAAGTTCATAACAGTTCAAAAACAGATTTAACACGCTTTTAAAACTTTTTTTTTATTGTTGTTTTAATTGAAGCAACCAAACGAAGCACATTACAAGGTTGCTATAGTTGAAAAACCACAAGTGCACAACATTTGTGGAGATACACTCGTAGTTACAGACGTTATGGAAACTTAAAGCTCTTTAAAGTTTAAACTTTTTAAAATTCGTTTAGTAAGTTAAGGACCGAAAATTGAACGTATAAAGTTTTAGGTCTAAAATAAATACTTCGCACCATTTTTTTTTGTAGTCGAACGCACTGGCAGTCAACGATACATGTCCCGGATGTAACAATCAGTACAGCGCGGGCGCAGTTTCCAACCAGTTGAACATTGCCATGCGCAGACATATCAAGGAATACTACATGGTAACTGAAGCAATTTTGTGAAGTGCTCACTTTTTGCAACTGCAGTTGTATACAGTGGAACCTCGATTTAAATAAGTGCCAAGGGACTGGGGAAATTTTTTCGTTATATCGAGGGTACGTTATATCGAAAATCTCGATATCACCTCGACGCAAGTTTTACCCTTTCGCATTCATCTTTAGTAATCTTTCGGTCACATGCTGACATTTATTCGTTATATCGAGGTATATTATACGTTTGCGTTTCTAGATTGTGTTCGTTATAACGATGATTTCGTTAAATCGAGTTTCTGTTCCATACATTTTACTGTAATTTTGGCCGGGCTGATGGAAATCGTTCTTTATACCGAGGACTTCGTTATATAGAGGTTCGTTAAATCGAAGTTCCACTGTAATAAAAGTAACAAAGTAACTCGTACGGCTTTTTTGTGGGCTATACACCAAGGAGCAAGAATTAGCACTTAGTCAGTTACTGCACGGCCTTCTGTGCAGGAGGGTCCGAGTCCGATTCCCAGATGTGACCCCAAATTCTTCTTTCAACTTCTTTCCTGTCCGTGCAGCTTTAAGTAGCTTTAAATACCTGTTAAACAGAGCACTGATGGGGAAAGGGGGTAAATATGAGCTGCTGACGTAAACTAACGAGGCTTTTTTTATACCTCTACCCATTCATATGCACTTCATAATACATTCTCAAATGGGACTTCTGTTAGAGTAGCAAGAATGCGACCATCAGCAAGTGTCGTACCCGAGAGGGGTTTGATGATGATGCCAGTCTTAAGGATATTTCCCTCAGTTAGTAAAAGACCTTTTTAGCCATATGTTTTGTTTTCCCAATTTACACCCTTGACCTTAAATTGTACAAGAATTGTTTCTTAACCTTGCCTAAAAAAGTTTGTGCGTGCTCTTAAGTAACAATACTAAGATCTCTGTGAACAGTCTCTTTGTTTAAAAATTCCTTTGTTATTATGTTGTTGATTTTTATTCGGCTTTGAAGACATACTAGGAATCAAAACTAACCCACATTATAACTAATCGCACAGGGTTGGCAGAAATGCGAGGACCCGTCCTGTGGTTACAGCACACGTCAAGTACGCCTGACACGTCAACGAGGCCCCCCTATGTGCCCACAATGCTTTAGGGCCCACCTGCATCCAGTGGTAAGTCTAAAACTCAAACAAAGACAACCATGACCGTCCAAAATTTTTCTTTGACTCTGTCGGTATTATCAGCTAAAACTATGTTCAAACGGACGGGGTCAACAATGTTTGGAGTTTTTAACCTCCGTGTTGCCAGTGGATTGCACACGGATGCAACAACTCCCAACAATGTTAGGACCTGCAGTGCATCGTGGGAAGGATACTACCCATAAGGCTTTGAAGACCGTGTGTAATCCGCGTGCGTGGCCCCAACAATTAATGTTGGAAGAGGTTTGCAAACGGATCCAACATTGTTGCGCTACGCTTCGGCGATCACAAAACAAACGAAATGTTGGGAGTTGTTGGCTCAAACGTTTGTTTGCCAACTAGTTTGCGTCCGTTTGAACGCGGAGCAAGGGATGGCGCAGTGGTGAGAGCGCACGCCTCCCACCAATGTGGCCCGGGTTCAAATCCCGGCGTCGATGCCATAATGTGAGTTGAGTTTGCTCCGAGAGGTTTTTCTGCCGGTATTCCGCTTTTCCCCTTTCCTCAAAAACCAACATCTCCAAATTCCAATTCCAACAGGAATCAGGTAGACGGAGAACCACTTTGTGGATGTGCTACCTACAAATCATTATTTATTTATTTTATTGAAGTATTTATTTATTTAATATTTCGTGGCCCAGCTCCTTCATTGATTTCCAATTTGTCATGTTTTTTTTTAGTACTCCGACACAGCGTTGTACACTCAACTATTGCACTTCCCCCGCTTGTTTGACGACGACCTTGCCGTGAAAAATTCAAGAACAGCTCAGTATTTTGAGTGAGTATGAGTCAAAAACGTTATTTACCCACGGTGCTTGCATCAAATAACTTTACGATAAAGTATCTGTGCTTCTCAAAAGCCGTACTTAAGAAATTAAATAACATAAAAATATGTTTATATCTAAAACTAAAGCGGCTAAAAAGAGATCGCACACTCTATAAACTAAGAAAGAAGAGAATTTATAATGGTTGACTGAGATAGTATGTACGACCTGATCTTCGCCTTGAATTTTGCAGAAAAGTCTCTTTTTTGAACAAGAAGGGACAGAATCCCAAAACTCAACAGCCCCAAAAGCAAAACTATTCTTAAAATAGTTTGTCCTTGTTGTGGGTAGGTAGCGGGACAACTTAACCTTCAAGCGTCGCGTCAGCGTTTACGTTTCTTCTTGCGTTCGCGTTTCACGCGTGTGAACGGGGACAACTCAAACGCAAGCACAAATGGAAGGAGGAAAGTGCTCAACTGTCATGTTGGGATACATAATGTTCAAGTGCACTTTTGTATCTCTGTGCCTGTGTTTGCGTTGGACGTGGGAACTTGTCTGTTCCAAGGAGTCTCTAGTGTGTTTGGCAAACGGAAAACGCGACTGCGAGCGATAGGATCGCGCAATAGACCATGGAAACGTTTAGTGTTGACGTAAAGGACGCTGGGAAGGGTCAGCGGCTTTCCCATGATACCTAGCGCGGAACCCATCATAAAGTTTGTTAATCTAACGATAGCCTCCTCTCTTTCAAAACAAACATTAAATGTTTCCAAGGAAGTTGTGGAAAGTGCAATTTTTATCCACAGCATAGAATAAAAAAAGTTTATTATTATTATTTATTCATTTAGTTGATTTGACCTTTAAACAATCTGTTTAATTTCTTTTCGTCTGTTTCTTACTTTTAGCTGTGGGCGTAACACAGAATACGAAGTCATTTTACAAAGCTGTGCACTCAGTGATTACTAAAGTCCTAACTGCTAATGGTTACTCTGAAGTGAACCTTTCGAAATTGTTTAGTAGTTTCTTCGTGTAGAAACAGTGAAAAAATTCATACCTCTCATTAGCCAATCAAAAGCAAAGCCCACATCAGTGATGCCTTGCGCGCTGTCGCCGCGCTTTGCTCTGATTGGTTGGTCAAGGCTAGTTTCCCTCACGTGGATTTTCCCACGCTTTCGTCTGATTGCCAGTTTTCTCGCCAGTCAGTCAGTTTCCCGCCTTAGCAACCTGACCAATTTGTACGCTGTTTTCATTCACTTAGCGAGTATTTTAATTATTCTACAATAACAATATTGGCAAGTAATTAGAGTGAAAGCAATCCTATAATTGAACAAAGAATTACGTACTTATTTCCTAATGTATATAAGTGTGCCTTCTTTTAAGTTTAAGACTATTGTTTAATACGTCTCTAGATGTCTCCTTATAACATTAGCACGTTTAATCACGTAGCCTGCGCAATGTTTTTCCAGTTTAGCTAAATAAAATTTTTCATTGATTTTAAAAGAATAATTGAAATACGTTCTTATAGGATGTTCATTCTTGAGGTGTTTGCCTGTTGAAAAAATTTCCCCGTTGGAATAATCTCCGAAAGACAACGAAAACGTTTTGACGAGCACCTTCGGAGCAGCGAGAAGAATTGGAACTGGTTTTCCTGCCGCTGTGTATTCTACACGGTTGGTCACTTCCTTAACGACGCTCATGCTTCGGGGGGGGATAACGCGCAACGGGTACGCCTGGTGATTTGCCTTCCCTTTCCTCTAGACTGCGCGCAGAGCCCCCGCGCACTAGAAAGTTTTTAATTTTCACTTTATAAGTGAAGAAAAACCTTGCACCGGTGCTAACGTACTTGCAATGCCACTGATGAAGAGCCAGGCTCGAAACGTTTGAAAAACAACTTCATTGTAAACAGCAACTTTTGTTCGTATTTGACTTTATAATGAACATTTACTTGGTTTATGTATCAGTATGGGATAGCATCCGCAAAAGGTAAAGATGCTTTGCGTCAAAGGAAATCTTATAAAATGATATCAATTAACATAATTGAGACCCGTTTCTTTCCAGGCGCTGGTTACGCGTGCTTCCTCGAAATTTCTCCCTCAGCCCTAAAAACCAGCGCCTACTTCGCAGGCTATAATTGGAGGATTGAAAAAGTACAGTCTTTGCAATCCCTATGATCTTTTCACCATATGTGCTATCAGGCGCTCTGTGGATTATAAACAAGTTCTGTTCTGTTTTGTGCTAGAAAAAGGAATCCAGAGAACCCTTACCGGTAATTCGGATCAAGGTCATGGGTCGATTCCCATCAGTTGGGAGCTCAGAAAGTTCCTGTTCTTCCGAGAAACACTTGACTTCCTGTGAGGCAGATGTTGACAGGGTCTGGGATGAAGGGGAAGGTACTCGGGGAGGGGGGGGGGGACTCCCCAGGAAAAAGACCGGGATACTCTTCGTCTCGCTTTTATAGGGGTGAAAAATTGCAGATCTCGGCCTCACTTGTGGTGCGCAGGACTGAAAGCACGATCAACTCCTGCTGAGAGCCAAGATTGTTAGCCATACAGACAAAGGTATCTCTCATTGGGGTTCTGCCCAAGAAATTATCTCTATAAAACAAACCAAGCACCCGCTGTCAAACTCTACTGAATACATCTTAAACACGAGAATATAGCTCTTATAGCGTTATAGCTCTTAGCTGTCTGTTTTCAGTTGACTTAGGGCCTGTTTACATGGGGTGGGGGACCCCGGTCTAGTGGGGTTGGTTTCTTTTGTTTTCACGCTCTGGAGGACACAAAACAAAAGAAACCTACCCCACTAGACCGGGGTCCCCCACTCCATGTAAACAGGGTCTTAATGGTTCAAATAAAGCCTGTGCTTCACCCAGCTTGGTTTTCTTTTGGAGTTGAATTTAGTCCTGACGAGCATCTCCATCGCATTCCTTCCCTACCCCTACCCCTTTAATTTTTACGCCTGCCACTTTAGCTACTCTTGATCTTTGGACGATTTACTTTCCTCAGAACAACGAAGCCTTGTTAGATTAGCTATTAACAATAATCTGTTGTTTCTTTCAAAAATATCACGTGATTCACATCATCAAGTCAATAATTGAAGACGCCCTCTGAACCACTCACTAAACTGCATCCCCTCGATACAACACTACCTCTCCTCTCTTATCCTGGGCTCTGGAACACAGGTTTGTCTAAGATTTTATGATATTGGATTTTATGGCTCAATGGATTACTATACCGTGTGTGGGGTTTGTAAAGAACATCATTTTCGTGTTTAAGGCACATTCCAACCTTGTAAATTGTTTGGAGTTCGACTGAGAAACATTAGTTCCCCATGGTAAGATAACGTAAGCCTCGTATTTTCTAGAATGAATTTAACCTCTCACAGTTCTAAAACTATCCTGTTTACCTCAATATTAATTATTGTCTGTCAGACTGTCCGAATTGAGGAGAGAGAAATTGGGTACCAAATAATTATTTCTGTTTGTTCTTGAAGTCCCATTGCATTTCGGTTTGGCCATCAACGTACGTTTTTTGAGCAAATATTCAGTTCCCTTTTCTCGGTTAAGACTTAAAAGGTGAAGTATTTCGCCGATGGAACTGTTACAATGTCGACTTTTCAGGAGTATGAACGTGAAAGAATCTGAAGCATGAACGCTATTTAAAATGCTGCATCTTGATGGTACAAACTGCAGTGAAAGCATGTGCAGCACAACAAGTGAAAAGTCTAAAAGGAATGACTGAACTAAAGTGATAGCCTGTTTGACAAACAATTTTAGCGAAATAAGGCAACTTTTTAGTGTTGATCATAGGGAAAGTATTGCGTGAATGACAGCGTCACCCACTCATTAAAGTTCTGCCAAATCTCAGTGCAATGGAAAAATGAGAGTTCACCCCTTCACTTCACTTATTTTCATATTCACGTTTATCTCCGTCCCTCGAATATTAAAACTTTACTTCAAACCGAAGAAATTTGCTGGTGAACTTTTGACGTATTAGAGGGATGCTCAGTATTTATGTGAACGATACATGGGTACCTCTTAGTCTACTTCTGAGGCTTCTATTTTTCTCATGAGCAGAAATCACCAATTATGTCTCATGATCAGAAGCAGATATAAACTACCTTTGAGATAAAAGCCACGATAATGACAATGTACCCTGGCTCCAGAGGTCCGTTCTCGAAATATCTAGGATGAAATAAACCGTCCTCACGGTTCACGAAAATGACCTCTAGAACGCGGGTAACGAATATGACGCCGGAAAATTAAATGTAAAGTGAAGCAAAATAGGGCGGTGAGACTCACAAAGAAGTTGGTTGGATTCATGCAACTTTTACCCTATTTTAGACCAAATTAGGAGATTTTCGTTTCTCTGATGCTGAACTGATCGAGAATTCGACGCCCTGTTAGGCCCCCGTAACTGCTTTGATATGCGCTGACATTAGAGAAACGCATAACTCGTGTTATACCTAGTCTGCTACACAGCCGTTTTTGATATCGTCACGCAACGCTCCTCCCCACTTAGTGGGGAGGAGCGTTGCGTGACGACACTAAAAACGGCTGTGTAGCAGACTACTCTATACTTCGTTTTGGAACTGACTCAAAATGAGACAGTTCCAGTACACGCATTAAAAACGTTTCCTCTTGTAAAATAATATCCAGCGTTGGGGAGGAGCGTTGCGTGACGACACTAAAAACGGCTGTGTAGCAGACTACTCTATACCTCGTTTTGGAACTGACTCAAAATGAGACAGTTCCAGTACACGCATTAAAAACGTTTCCTCTTGTAAAATAATATCCAATATCAAGCCAAACCCTAGCCTATTTTAAACCAGAAAGCTCAGTTGAGGCTGTTGCTGAAGGCTTAAAAGTTGACGCTGCAAATTATGGGGGAACGCTTAGCCCTCCACCCATCTCTTGGGGGACGAAAAAAAGGCTTCTTTCGTACTTTCAGCGACTGTGTAATTTCTCATCAAATTCTGTGACAGGCACTTGTCATGTCAAGTATCGTATTTAAATCCACAAAATCAAAGATGTGATTGGATTCCCCTTCTTATTTAAAATGACACAGGTCACAGCGGTGATATTAAGGATTCCCTTTCAGTCAAGTTGAAATTTTTCACAGTCAAGAATCGCGTGAAGGAACCCTTGCATACCCTTATCCACCTCATTTTCTTAAAACCTTTCACGATCAGGTTTGTGTTTGATTTTCATCTTAGTTTTACAGACATTTAGTGCTGAATCACGAGTGGCTTTTGTATGGAGTGACAGTATCGTATACAGTTTGCTTGTGACGCGATCATTTCGTATGATTGTAGTAAGTTATTATATTTACTGACGCTGAGAATAGAACATTCATGGTACTTCAGACTGCAGTCACCAAGGATTTACTCTTAAAAAGGCTCGAGAGTGCAATCCCCGACCGATTGATGTCGATGGATGAACAACCCATGAAAGCCTCACCCAATTAGTTCATTACTTCAATCCTCACGACTTCCGATAAACTCTACCTCTCTATTTTAAACCTTAGTCATCTCTCCTTAAAGCCGGAAACATTTGTAGTATTCACAAGCATTGTCCCAGTTTCATGACTTCTGATTCCTGTTTGTTGTATTGATTACTTGTCAATTGGCAACGGGTCTTCTGCAGAAATCCGCAAAGTCTCTGAAGATAAATTGCTATTTCTTCAAGGAGACATTCGCTCCCTCGGTATCCAGGCCACTGAATGAATGCATCTATAAGCTTGCTTTTGTGAGATTTTTATCTACTGATATTTTAAAACATGTTATAAATTAAAATCAGCCTCTCAATGCTATGAAAGTAAAAGCATGAACCCTGTTAAAAAAATTATCGTCACAAATCAAGCTGTGATTTGCTCATAATACAGATGTTAAATTGACCGGCCCACGCCCAGTTTGTTTGCACTACTGAACTGGAGCGCGGCATTAGCGAAGGAAACTACCATTTTGAC